AATCTAAAATGAACCAGAAACTTGTATGCAATAAATAAGCCCTCAATATGGTGATTTCACCCTTAGGGGATAAGATTTAAGAGGAGCTAGGGAGAGGGCCAGGATTTAGTTCAGTGGCGCTGTACCTCCCTTGAAAGTGCAAGTTCCTGAGTTCAATCCTTGGTACTAAAAAAAAAAAAAAAAAAAGCTAGGAGGAAAAATAGAGAAATATAAGAAGAGGAAGAAATTAGAAGGCTGGAAGACAAGGAAAGATCATACAAACTTTGGGAAACTGGTGAAGGAGACAGGAGGGAAAGAGAGAAGGAAGAAATAAAAACAAGAACAGAAGAGGACACCACCACCAAAAAACCAAAAACTGTGTTCACGTGCATGTAAAAACAAGAACAATCAAGAAAAACAAAACAAGAACAAAACCCAGAAAATAGCAAAAAAGAAAAAGCCCAATTCAGGATGTGTCTGTGCTGTCACTGGTAGACAGCATGGGCAGACAGAGTCCAGATCTGAGCTGATTCATCCCAGCAAGCCAGCCATAGTTTTAAGGTGGGGCAGTGGCTAATCCCAGCAAGCCTGTACCTTTAGTTCCCTTGAAGTTCAGGCTGGTTTCTGGGTGTGAGGCTGGAACCATGTGGTGGAGCCTGCCACAGTCCATGTGCCTCCTGACGGCTTGAATTCTGCTCCTTGCTGGCTTGAACTCGGCTCCCTGACCTCCTGCCAACTCAAACTCAGCATCCTCACCGCAACACAGCCACTAGATAGAGCTGGGTGGTGGTAGCTGTTCTGAGTTCTGAGCTCAGTTGGCCCCTCTCTAAGATGGCTACTGGCCATTTGGCCTCTCCTGGTTGATGCCTGAACCTGAATAACTCACCAACCACTGCAGCTCACTGTGTCCACTGCTCCGTTGCACTGGTGCATTTCTCTGTGGAGGCTACTGAGGTTGCTAGTAGTCACCAAGTGTCTGCAGTTTCGACCTGTCCTTCCCACGCTGAATCTAGGCTCTGGGAGAGAGCACAGCTTGCCACCTCCCTTCTTTTCGTTGACTTTGTTGGACTTCAGTTCTCACTTAAGATCCTTCCAGGGTCCCAGGGACCCCCCACCCCCACCCACCCACCCCTGTATTCCAGCGTCAGGACACCAAATCTTGGAGAAGCTCTTTCTCTGCTGCTCACCACTCCACCATTTTCCTTGAAGTCCCTGACAGACTCTTTTCTCTAGAAAGGGTAGTGGTATTCAAATGCATTGAGTACCAAATTTGATGAGTTTCAAAGCAGTAGAGTACCAAGGTACGACTGTGTCTCTAATGCATAGATTTATTTTGACACTATCTTATTTGATTGGTTGATATGACTTTTTCTGTGTCATCCTATGTTGATTCCCATAGGTTTGTGGTGTATTTTGAAATCAGGCATTGTGATGTTTCTAGTTTATTCCTTTTTTGTTCACTATTCCTTTGGTCATTCATTGTCTTTTGAGATCTATAATAATTTTAGGATTTTTTTTTTTATTCTGTGGAAAATTGACATTGATGTTTTGGTAGGGATTGCAGTGAATCTGTAGATTGCTTTAGATGGTATGGACATTTTCACAATTAAGTTTTTCCAATCCATGGAATTAGTACATCTTTTTGTGTTTAATTTTTTATCCATTTTTACAGTTTTTTTAATATAGATATTTGATCTCCATGGTTAAATTTACTCCTAAATCCTTTATTCTTTTTGGTGGTTTTGAAGATGAGCTTATTTTCTTAATACTTAATGGAAAATGTTAATGCGTGGGAACACTACTGATCTTTGTATATTGATTTTATATCCTGAAACTTTACTGAATTTATTTTATCACATCTAACAGTTTTCTGATGGAATTTTTTGTTTTTTCATATACAAGATCATGTCACTAACAAATAGATGGTTTCATTTCATGGTTTCTTTCTCTCACCTGATTGCTATAGTACTTCTAGCACTGTGTTGAAAGGTAGTGAGAGTAGCTATCTTTGTCTTATCTCTGATCTCAGAGAAAACCTTTCAAGTTTTCACCATTGATTTTCATATTATCTATGGGATTATGATATATAGCCTTTCTTGTGTTAACATATATCCCTTGTATACCTTATTTACTGAGAGCTTTATCATGAAAAGGCATTGAATTTTATCCTGTGCTTTTTCTGCATCTATTGAGATGATTGAAGTTTTTGCCTTTCATTCTGTTAATGTAGCATCCCACATTTGGTGATATATGTAGGTGAACTGTGCTTGCCTCCCTGGAATCAATTGGTCATGTTGCTAGAATTCAGTTTTTTAGTATCTTGTTGAAGAGTTTTGCATCTGTGTTTGTCGAGGATATTGAAGTAATTTCCTTCTAATCTGGCTTTTATATCAGGGTAATGCTGGCCTTATAAAATAAATTTGGAAAAATTCTCTCAGTTTTTTGGAAGACTTTGAGAATTATTGATACTAGTTTTTCTCTAAATGATTAGTGGGGCCAGGGACGTAGCTCAGCAGCACAGCAGGAACCAGGGTTCCTGGTTCCTTTTGTTCTTTTATTGGGGCCGTGTTTCTCCATTTCTACTTAATCCTTGTGGCAGTGGATTTGTGTTTGTGTTTTTCAAGAGGTAGACATTTATAGTCTTTGCACACTGGCTTTGTGTAGGAATGCCTTCCATCATTCAGCTCCTCTGTCCATTCCAAGAAACCCAAATCACATTATCTGTGAGCTGTTTTGCTGCTGGAGTTTTTAGACAGGGTGACCTGATAAACTGGGAAACCTGATGTGAAGATTGGGTCCATGGAGGTAGACCTTCTGTTCAGATATGCAGCAGTGAGTCTAGAAGCTATGTCCACATGGGCTCCCCTGGAGATGATGTAGCACTGGGATGACTGAGCTTGAGCACAGGCTGTCACCAAGCACTGAGATAGTCCTGGTTCCTGAGTCCATGGGGGCTGATCTGTCAGTGGGTCAGGCCTGCACCTTTATTCTGGGGGTTAGGGATAAGTCCATAAGGGTTGGCCTGAAGTTTGAGTTGGCATTGGTGGTCCTAGAGGAATGATGGTGAGCCCATGGCACACGTGCTGCTGTCAGCATGCAAGCCAAGTATATGAGTTGTTTTTTCTAAACTAAAACCTCAGTATTCAGGTATAATTGCAGTGTTGATAGTTTGCAATAAATAAGTAGGTTTGGGGTAGCTGCTTGGGCACTCTGTCTCTGAAAGATTCACCATCACTGTCCTAGAGCCCCAATCTATGGGGATCTGCTTAGCACCAGGAGTTGGTGGGGCAGGCCTGGACTTTGGGTCTGTTGGAACAGGCCTGGGCCCCAGGTCCACTAAAGTGCTGGGTTTGTAGGGATCAGATTGACATCTGCGATCATGAGTGTTTGCCTCGTACCTGAAAGCATGGTGACTCCCATAGACCCTGGTGCTGTGGGGACTGAGCTGGATTCAGAATCCACAAGGCCTGGCCTAGAGGCCGGATACGGGGTTACTGGCCCGAAGGCTAGGACCATGAGGGTTGGCATAGGTCCTGGGGCCACGCGAGCCAGCCTGGAACCTGGGCCCTCAAGAGTGTTCCTGATGAGGGCAGCACAGCGCTGGGGTCTGCTGGAGCAAGCTAGGAGTGTGCGGCTGCATGGACTGGCCTGGAAGATGGGGCTGTGGGGTCCTGCCTGACACTTGGTTTTATTAGGATGGGCCTGTTACTGGGATCTGAGGTAAAATCCTGTTGATCACGTTCCTTTCCTTCCCTCAACCAGAGGATTTTTCTTTCTACTCTGTGCTGCTTGGGGTTGAAGGAGAGGTGGTATGAGTAATGTAAAACTGTCCCTCCTGCCCTCTTCGATGTGTCTTTTCTTCTGATCAGTAAGAAGTCTTAATAGAAATAGTGCAGACCAGATATACTCATGTGCAGATAAAAACACAAATCCCAATAAAAACCAGGTTTGGTGAGGATTTGGGAAAAACAAGTACACTCGTGATAATTGAAGTGTAGATTGGTACAGTAGTTCTAGAGGATTTTATCAGTATGTGTCCAGAGAATACATTCTTTGCAGTTTCTCCTGAAGTTATAGGTGAGAGCAAAGATGGTTACAGAGGGAGACGAGGCAAATTGATAATGGCTTGTATCTAATAGCTCTGCAATCAGAAAAAAGCAGAAGGTGACATTCGGGTGAAGTTTGGAACATTGCTATGGGTTCTGTAGGATCAAGTAGCTTTAAACAAAAGCAGTCAGAAGCAGTGTCTTGCTTGTAGGGATAACATAAAAGTGTATACAGAAGCTTTTGTTTCATGATATGTACAGATCGGGCATGGAAAAAATTATTCAAGTGAATGCACAAGGTTACTCCTGGAAGATGGAATCCAGGGATATAGGCTCATTCTAGTCCACAACCAGACTGCCGGTGAGGTGACAGCAGTAAGACCAAGGAGCAGTAGAACAGGAGCCAGGATCAATACCATAGCTGGACAGACTAACTCTGAGCTGTCCAGAGTAGGTGTCAATTTCCAGAATAACTAGAATTAATTCTCAGCATTAGCTCTGATGAACTGTGCTTTCTAATGTGTGGAGTACAGGACCTCATTTGATTGGGTCTGGGTTTATACTATACTAAAAACTCGGGCCGGGGATTTAGCTCAGTGGTTCTGCCGCCTGCCTTGCAAGCGCAAGGACCCGAGTTTGATCCCTGGTACAAAAAGAAAACCCAACAATAATAACCATATTTTTAAACCTTTCTTCAAAGCCATATTAAATATGTCAGCATTAGTTTTATCACCCACTGAAAGGGAAAGATTATTTATCTTTTGTCTTTTAATCCCAAATAATACTTTTATTTATTTTTGATTTTGGTGGTACTGGGGATTGAACTCAGGGCCTTCACACTGAGTTACATCTTCAGCCCTTTATTACTATTATGTATTTGTGTATTTTGTATTAAATTCCCGATCATTGTTTGTATCAAGAGTTTTCTAGACCAAATATGACAAATAGCAAGGATATTTATAATTCTCTGTACAGGGACACCTCCATTCTCACCAGAGTCTTTTGACCGAATTCTCCTTGATGCACCCTGCAGCGGAATGGGACAGAGACCAAACATGGCTTGTACTTGGACTCTGAAGGAAGTGACGTCATACCAGCCACTGCAGCGAAAACTCTTTCCTGTGGTACGTCCGTGGTGACCTTCTGTGTGAAGGAGGTTGACCTTGGGTAATTTGATGTTTAGGCCACTTGGAGCAGTGTTCAGAGCAGCATTATTCGTAGCCAAAAAGTGGAAGCAACCCATGAGTCCATTAACAGATAAAGGGATAAATACATCCGTCTATGGAAGATTATTCAGCCTTTAAAAGGGCCGCAATATATAGCTCCACTGTGGATGAACTTTGAACCATTATGCTAAGTGAAATACACCAGACATAAAAGAAAGAATGTTGTATGATTCCACTTACATAAGGCCAGTAGAATGGCAAATTCGTAGAAAGCAGAGAAAGGTTGCTAGGGAGTGAGTGGTGGGGAATGGGAGAATCGGGAGTCAGTGGTGTGGTTACAGAGTTTCCATTTGAGCCAGTGAAAAAGTTCTGGAGATGCATAATGATAGTTGTACAGTGTGCTTAATGCCTTTTGAATTATATACTTTCAAGTGGTTAAAATGGTGAGTTTTATGCTTTGTGTATTTTACTGCACACACAGGACTGAGAATGCCTAACTGTAAATACAGGAAGCTTTCCTTCATGTCAGCTCACCCCTTGTTTATTTACTTATTTACTTATTCTTTAGTACCAGGGATTAAACCTAGGGCCTTTGCCCTGAGCTACATCCCCAGCACTTCGTAAATTTGTAATTTTGAGAGGGGTCACGTTAAGTCACTAAGTTGCAGCAGCTGAATTTGAGTTTGCAGTTCTCCTGCCTCAGCCTCCCAGAGTGATGGGATTACAAGTATGTGCAACCACACCCAGTAATTTTACCTCTGAAATACAGAGCAATGGTAGAATTTCTTCACTGAGATATTTAATGAATTTTGAACATTGTGCTCTGTCTTTTAAAAAAAGTGAATAGTTCACATAGTTATTATAAAGAATTGCTATATGGGCTGGGAAAATTTAGCTCAGTGGTTCTGCTGCCTGCCTTGCAAGCTCAAGGTCCCAAGTTTGAGACCTAGTACCAAAAAAAAAAAAAGAATTGCTATAAAAGTGTTCTTTATTTGTAGAGTTCCTGAGTCATCTGAGCACATTAAAAGTGGGAAATCTGTTAGATGCAAATGCATTGATGAGATTAGGAATGACAGTATCCCGTGTAATTGTGGAAGGGCCATGAAAATTGGAACAATTAACTGATTTCCAGTGTGCGTCAGAAGAAACCTAGATAAAACACTTGATTTCTGTTAATCTTGCAAAAATGACTCTGGATTTTACCAAGTATAGACAGCCTTTGATCAAAGATGAATTCATTATTTCCTCTCAGCCTTCCAATCATAAATGCATAGACTAGAGCAACAGTTCCATCTCTGAAGCTGTCCTTGAGTATATTTCCACACATCCTTCCTTGCGTTCACAAAAGCAGCACTCCTTGGGGATTATTTAACTTTATTGGTAGCAGCCGGAGAATACATCCTTAGAGTTAAAGCAGCAAGCAGGAAACGAAATTTTACCTCCAGCTGCAAGCCACTTTGATTGGAGAGTAAAATTAAGATCCTACTTTAAGGGACTTGGTTTTTTGCTCGTTTTAGGTCATAGCAGAAAAGGAAATTTTGAAAGGTTTCTAGAAGTGGATTTATGATTTCAATGAAAAGGAACATCTGACCTGTGAGAAGGAACTTGAGTACAGTGGGTGAATAGAAATTGACTGGGATATGGACTTTATATCTTGATTTGAGCCATGGCTTCTTCACATCAGTGACTTTAGTTACATTGATTTCCACATCAGTGAAATGAGGATAAGAAGCCTAACCTAACGGGAACTTCATTGGAAATAGTAACCTTACCTCACGTTGGTTATAAGACTGACTGAGAAAATATTTAATTGAGTAGCTGGCACATAATAACAAAGTTTAAATTTCCCTAGTGAGTGAAGAAAATACAAATATGTACACTCAAATTTTAAAAAAGAAATCTGAGAATTTGAAAAGATGAACATGACGGAGACGAATTCGTTTTAGTTTGGCACCTTATGTCCTGATTCATTCGAGTACCTACTGTGTGTAAGACTTTGTGCTATGATAGATGCCAACAGAGTAGTAAAAGAGCGAGCAAACGGTCCGTGCCCTTAGTTTCTGGGTTTGTATTTTAACTGGGGGTGTGGGGGAGTAAACAAATGAGTAAGTTGTTTAGACGATTACAAGGCGCCAATGCTGTGGACTTGCGGGAAAGCACAGGACAGAAGGAGTGACAGTCGTGCTGGGTTGGCATATTCGGGGTTTTATGCAGGGGGTCAGGAGGAGCATTGCTGTAAAGGTGCCATGCGAGCAGTGAAGACTGTGAAGGGGTAAGCAGTGCAGAGGATTCTGAGAGTTCCAGCCTGCCTCAAAGGCCCTGAGGTGGGGGTGCCTTGCCGCGGGTTCCAGGGACAGCCGGAGCCCAGTGGTTCTAAAGCAGAGTGAGCAAGACCAGGAGCTGTCGTAGAGGAAGTCAGAGCCTATTTAGGACTTTGGCTTTGACTCTGAGTTGTAATGGAGGGCGTCGGAAGGGTTTGGGGCTGAGATGTAAGAAGTACAGAAGGTCCACTCTGGCTGTTGTATTGAGAATAAGTGATGGGAGAACAGGAAAGAACCAAGTAAACTAAATAGGAGACTATTTAAATACTCCAAGCAGCAAAGAGGGTTGGACCAAAATAATAGTGGAAGTAGTGAGAAGTGGTCAAATTTTGGATATTTTGAAGGTAGAACTTGTAGGATTTGCTGATGTGTGATGAATGTGAGAGAGGCATGAAGTAGAATCTGAGGTTTGGAGCCTGAACATCTTAGAGGGATGGAAAGACTGTAGTCGTTTTCAGAAAGAAGACAGGAGCTTATTTTGGGATGTGAAATATCAGGGAGGCAGCTGAATATGAGTATGGAATTCAGAAAGAAGGTCTGGCCTAGAAATTTAGATTTGTGAATTTTTGAAATGAGATTGGTCTCTGAACATGAAACTATTGTATTTGAGAATCTTGGTCCGTGTGAAGTACAAGAGCTCTAAGGCAGTGAAATGCAGCTAGTCCTGGATGCAAATGTTGTGCTCTTAATTACTTACTATGGAACATCAGATACTTCCAAGGCGTCAATACGTGACACTGTAAAGTCCCTTCACATACTTGGCCTTGGTATGCAGATCTGACGTAGCTCTCTCTAGGCAGTCCAGCTGCTGAAGCCAGGAGGCACGCTGGTTTATAGCACATGCACTGTCACCCTGGAAGAAAATGAAGAGCAGGTGGCCTGGGCCCTCAGCACATTTCCTTGCCTTCAGCTTCAACCCCAGGTAAGAGGAGCTTCAGTTTTCCTCTGTGCAGTCTGACAAATCACAGAAACCGAAGTGTGGCGGTGTATGCTGGGTGTTACATGACGAAATATGTGAAGTAAAACTTCTGCTGCAAATACTGTAGTAAACAAAAAATTGCTCCTTTTAGATCCGTCTTAGACTGACCCCGGGGAATTTGCATGACTCGATGACAGACTTTTTCACTCATATTTTGCCATTATGCTGAAATGGCTCAAAGCTTGGTGATTTCTGTTACCTGTTTATTTCTCTACTAGCTGTTGTTCATGAGACTTGGCACTTTGTTTTCAAAGGTGCCCCCAGACTGCTTCTAGTCCATTGTTTGTCTCCTATGGAAAAATATTGAGCATGTTTTCTCATGTCACATCAAAGCCCAAACATACTAACTGGAATATCAAAAGACCAAGCAAGAGAGGAAAAAAAAGTTCAGGGTTATTGCTTCTTTAGAATTTATTATATAAAAATCTAACATTTAAGAAGCTTTCCTATACTTAGCACTACTCTAATTTTGTTAGGAATTTTAAGACTATGATTCAGTTTTTAGCGTATAATACTTGAGATGAAGTTTGTATCTGTAATAATGCTCAGTGTTCGGTCATCGAATGTCTAACTTCAGTACCTTCCTGTGCAGAATTCCAGTGGGTAATTGGAATACATAAAAATCCAGAAGTGGTTTCTAGACTCAGAAGTGATAGATGAAAGGAGGACTTCAGAATTCACTTAGAATTTATACCTGAAAGAAGTATTCTCTCTTCACCCCATGGGTTAATAAACTGCCTTCTTAAGTATATGTCTGAAAACCTGTCTTTATTGATACACAAACGCGTGGCTGTGAATGGTGACTTAAATCAGGATTGTGGAACTTTTTTGTAGTGGTTTGCAGGTATCACTGAATTTGTTTGGATTCTGTATTCTTCTAAGCTAATTGATGCAGCCTTAATTTGTGCATCCCTTTCTGATATTTCTTCTCCAAGGGCACAAAAAACCAAGAGAAAAGCATTTCTGATGTCTAAAGAACTGTTTTCAGAAGTTTGATATGTGCTAAGCAAAGCTGACTTTTTTATCTGTTGCTTTATAATGTTCCATTTACTTCATTCCCACTGTATACCAGACAGGATATCATCATCTCTGTTTTTCAGAACTGAGCATTTTGTTTTATAGATTTTAAAAAATGAGTTTAGGTAAAGTTACTTGCTTAAGGTCACACAGCTAAAATTTGACAGCTGCAATTTCAAATCATGTGTTTCTGACTACAGAGTTCAGCCTTTTATAATGTCACCCAGTACCTCATAAGCATATAAGACATAGTTAAGTCTTCCTTTCATCGGGTGCTCTACTGCCTAAAAGCAGCGTGTACATTCCACAAGGGAAAAGCATTTACTCATTTTTTTGGGGGTACTTGGGATTGAACTCAGGACCTTGCGCTTTCGAGGCAGGCAGTGGAACCACTGAGCTAAATCCCAGGCCCACATTTACTCGTTTTTCTATTTTGGAAGATGTGATAGGTATAACCATTTGTTTCTTGTTTTGTTTTTTGAGACAAGGTCTCCCCATCCAGCGCAGGCTGGCGTAGCACTGACAGCACTCCTCCTGCTTCAGCCTCCCATGTGCTGGGATTACAGGCCTGTACCACTGCACCCAGCTTTGTCTGTCTTTTAATTTGTTAACTACACGGACATTCATCCATATTTGTTTTTCTTCCAATAGGAACCACAGATTGGAGGCGAAGGGATGATGGGAGCTGGTTTATCAGGTGAACAGCTGAGGCAGCTGCAGCGATTCGATCCGTCCACCACCCCATTACGGGACACTGACCTCGAGACTCTCAGAGATGCCAGAGCAGAAGATATGATCCGGCTGGCAAATAAGGATTGTATAGGGTTTTTTATTGCAAAATTTCTAAAATGGAAAAGCACATCAGAGAAGGATCCTCAGAAATGAAAGTTCCACAGCTTTGCATCTGTTTTGTGCCCCCCTCCCCCAAACAAAGTACTGTCAGGCCTGCTGAGTGCTGGCGTGGTTGCTAAGGAAACAGAAGGCTGCCAGCAGTTTCACCAGGGATCAGAGACATAGAGGAAGTGTATCTGAGAGGGGGTGGGGGGCTTATGAAATTATACTCTGGATTTTTCTTCCAGGATTCAGTAGAGTATAAAGAAAAAGAGCTACTTATGGATGCCTGTAACATTTTCATTTAGGGTCTTGTTTTAATTTATAAAGAATATTTTAATATTAAAAATTAGTATTTAATATGGTTACAAAAAATTATTTTCTGTTCCCAAGTTTCTAAGTAGTTATTTCCTTAAGAACTCAGGGCCTGGGAAGTATAATATTTACCATGGGGCAATAGCTGAGGTAAGTATTGTACTTGACTCTGTTTATATGTTAACCCTCTTTTACATGAAGTCTGGACTTCTTCTAAATGAAAGTCTTGAAACCAGAAAAAAAAAATTGGAAATTTCCTTTAATTGTACATAAAAACGTGAACATCTTCCACTTTTGGGTACTTTTTAGCCTATGTTGGAGTGCTATTCAGGTTACCAACAAGAAATGCTTGGGGAGAATGAGAAAACCAGCTTCCGACAGCTCGGGGCTCTCCTGGCACTCGCTGGGCTTTGTGGTGAAGAGTTTCACAGAGCACCAACCTCAGCCATGACGTCTATGTCTGTGATAGATCAAAACCCCACTTCGAATCAAATCTAAACTCAGACAAAACAAGAACATCACCCAGTTGCCAGAGTGACCAGACGTCCCTCTATGGTAGCCAGTGTGTCTGCTTTAAGAAAAATTAACTGTAGCCTTAGGCGTGTTCTTTCATTCTACCTGCTTTTTAGGTGAGATCTGTTAAAATATCCAGTACAGCTGTAGATTAAAGGCTGTAAACACATCAGACTGTTTTGCTGGTTTTCATTCAAGTCACCCAAGTTACTGGGCCCTGGATGTATGAAGTAGACAAATAGAATCAGTTTCCTAATAGTAATTTGACTTCTTCCTCATCGATTTTCCTTAGGAATTTCTCATAACTACTTACTGGTCTCTGTAATAATGCAAGGTCTTGTACATAAGATCTTTTGGAGAGCCTCTTGAAAGAAGCCTTTCTTGTACACCAACCTCTGAGCTTTGCATGCCCCGAGTACCCATGTCTTCTGCTGTCAAGCCACTTACGACACTGTCGTTCTAGTTCGCCAGCCAGGCAGAGCCCCACCACCATGCTTTGAAAACATCCTGGACATGGAGACCTTTTTTGTTTTTAACAGCATGGAATTGCAAAATTTATTGCAAGCTTCATAAGATTCAGATGACTCCTGTCCATCCCTCATCCTGCCTGTATTCAGTAATGTCATTTGACTGAACAGAAGCAGTGTTTACCTGTGGCACTTCTGTTTCCAGAACTCAGCATACCTCAAGGTTTAAATGTATTACAAGAAACTATAAAGTATTTCCTCTCCTGTGCGAGGCTGGGATGAAAATAGTAGGAAAGCAGCCTGGCAGCAAATCTGTATTGTTGTACATTTTTGGTTAATAGCAGCAAACATGAAAATATAAGCAGTGCCAGCAAAACAAAGATATTTGCATATTTTAAACAAGGATAAAGAATTTTGTTCATTTTTTTTTTTTGACATACACAATTTTCAGTGGGTTTCATTTCCATTTGTCAAACAGAAGTGCCATAGTAAACATTGTTCCTCTTTGATTGAATGATAGTTACTGGACCTAGACAGAATGAGGGATATAAGCAGTCACTCATACCTGAATCTTTTGCAGCTTGAAATAGTTTTTCTGTCATCCAGAAAGCATCTATTGCCTGCTCAGAAACAGTGACAGAAAATTAAACAAATTGGAAAATAAAACAACCCAGTTATGGAACACAGAAATGTAAGAAAAAAATGCATTAAAGGGGAAAATCAGGAAAATGTGGGGGATTAATGTGTCTTTTGACATAGTTTTAATATAGATATTTGTATGAAAACAAATATTTAAATTCAACATTGAGTACATTTTACTTCAGAACCTTGTGTCACATTTTAAATAGCAAAGTGAAGTACAAATAATTAAAAATATACTTTGGCAAAAACTTAAAAAACTGACTCAGAACCCATCTTAGGCCACTTTTCTCTAACAGTATGCCTGTTTTAGTAACATCAAAGCATCCAAAACATCAAAATATCCAAAACTGTCAGTACATGACAGAACCGAAAGGAAAAGGAGTTAAATGTGTTATGAAAATGGACTTCATTTTATTTATGTATTTTTTTAAAGCTTATCCCCACCCTTTTTTTTTTTTTGGTACCAGGGATTGAACGCGGGACCTTGCACTTATGAGGTAGGCAGTGGCACCTCTGAGCTAAATCCCCAGCCCAAGATGGACTTCATTTTAAAATGAATAAAATTCCAAATAGTATGAATAAAAAATTGTTGCACATTATTAAGGTGGGAAAAAGATGACTAGCTCATTTATTTTGGTACCGGGGATCCAACTCAGGTCCTTGCGCTTGCGCAGCAGGCAGTGAAACCACTGAGCTAAATCCCCGGCCCTACTACCTCATTTTTTAAAAACCTTTCACTTATCTTGAGCCTTTTTTTTTTTTTTATTAGATACAATGGAAGATTTCTGAAGGGACAGCAGTTAGTGTCACCGGTCAAGGAGATCCGCCACCAGTGGTAAGTCTTGTGAACTCCGACACATGCTTAACCCTAAGGACTGTTCCTAAGTTGACAATTAATACTACTAATAACAGTGCAGAAGCCAGCTCTTTATTTGTTTTATATGAGCGACTTTAAACCAGGTTTGTGAAACAGTTCAGTGTAGCTGACAGTGAATGTTTTAACAGGAATGCAGAGCAGACCATGTTAGAATGTGGCATTGTTCCCAAGTACAATGTAACTAAGACATCCTACATTTAGCAGCACCTCTTTGTAACATTAACTTCAATGAGCAACAGAGAAAGCATGGGAAGAACTGAAATGGGTATGGCAAACCGGTAAGTACATTTCTACAACTGAGTACATTCACATGAAGCCTTTGCTCTGTGAAAAGACTAATTTATATCACTCCTTAAATCCTTGGGATTGTTTCTTCCTTTATAGATTGACTATGTACTATTTACACATATGCCCACTATACAGTTTTCACATACCAGTATGAATGCTCTCTGTCAAATCCTTCAGTGTAGTTATTTGATGAATACTCTGGTTTGCACTAACATAAGAAACTAAGAATCAGGCACAAAATTAAAAAGATGAGCTCTTAGCACTATTCTTTCAAAGGGATTCATGATAGCCGCGAGAAGAGCATATACCCATTATATTTAGATGGGATGAAACAATATGTAGAAAAGGGTTGGATTGATGATCAACATCATATGATGAAAAGTTATCCAAAATATTTTATAAAAGAAATTTTAGTTGAAATACGCTTATGGTTTCCTGATAAGGTGAAATTTTTGTCAATAATTAAAGAGTTTTGGAGCTCCAGTGGTGCAATCGGTTAGCGCGCGGTACTTATACAATAATTAAAGAGTTTTTATATTCTTACAGATAAGAGGGAAATTTTTCATATTAGCTGGTAAAACTATGTATAACTCACTTTTAAAACTTCATTTTCTTGGGTGTAGGGAAATCATTAAATGCAAAACAGTTTTACTTATAAAAGCCCAAGAATATTTGGCAAGAACTTGGGAAAATTTGGGAAACCAAGACAAAAAATAATTATTATAACTATTATTTTGTTAAATACACAGATGAAAATTAGGCAATTACCAAGAGGCAGTTTCCCGGGACAAGCTCCAGATGGTAGGTGTTTGCACACCTAATACTGCCTCACTTATCCAGCCATAACTGGGCACTTCAGAAAGAGACAAAGGAGGTTTTAGCCTTAGCATGGTGACAACGAAAGCTTCCTACAGCCGTGTAATCGAGGCATGGAGACAGTGTCTTCTAGGTTCCCCTTCAGAGTTGATGTCTGATACAGGAAAATATTCTTAACATTTGATTCACTTCAAGTCACCCCATTTTGCCCTGATAACAACATCTGAAGAGCAGAAACTTTGGTTATAAGAAGCACTTCTGGGTTCTGACAGACAGGGAAGCTGGTGGACAGGGAGCTTGGTGATGGGGAGGAACAGTAGGTAAGTGGGAGATAAACCACAGGAACAATAGGCAAGGTTAGAAAATGAAGTGGGAGAAGTTATAAAAATTTATTTTCCTACGAAATAATTCCACAAGCTGTGTAAACGTTTCTTACTAAAACAAATACTTGAACACACAAAGATTGTACATTTCCAGTGAAACACTCACAGTACAAATTGCCTATGTTTTTACTCTCTGGGAGTAAAAACAAAGAGGCAGCAGATGAACGCTTTCCTAGTTACCTTTGGCAGCAAGCTTCCTCGCATTCCCTGACTGCTCAATGAATTATCCAAGCGGCACACAGCACAGTTACACACAAAGCCAGGTGGGTAAGTTTTGGATTTCAGTCTCTTCTTCATTAGTCTTCAGCTTTCCACTCACTCGCGCACACTCTTACAGACACACGCACACAGCGGGTTCCAGTGCAGTGACTATAACAGACACTCGCTACTAAGAACGTGTTTGTCACAATCAGTGTGAACTGTATGGAGTAGAACAATCTCTGGAATTTGGTTATATTTACCATAATTTATGGTTAAAATTATAAACTTACAAGGATGGTATACATTTAGAAATCAAACCTTTTCAAGTCAGGCAATCACACATATTTACAGTATGTACAGACTTTCTACTTGAGTGGAGATGTGTGTCTAGACAATATTATTACAAATTTCCTGAAGGTGGGCATCACTAGTCCCTGTAATTCATAAAGCAAATCTGCTGACTTGGCATTAAGACTAAAACAGTGTGGTCAAACATATATGTATATATATTATATATAATTATAATAAGGTGTTTGCAGAAATAACATTTACAAACTGTCTATACAGTACACAGTACTAGTACATAGAAAATAGATTCTAACTTTATGATCCCCTTTGTGTAAGGCAGGACTGAATCTGTCCCCAAATTTAGTCAGCCAGAGGCACAAGCGAGAAACAGTGGTCCATGAATGAATGAATATGCCCATCAGGTATCAGGGTATTAAACATCTGGAAAAACAGGAAACTCCACTTTTGACCTGTGCTGCTTCTGGCTTGCTGGGTACGTCCGTATTTCTTAAAATGCTAACATTGTCTGGATGGCAATAGGTTTTGTTCAGGTGGCAGCTACGCACAGCAGTTTCTGAAGAGTCTGGCGTACAACCAGAGGAGTGCAGCTGTACCAGGTCAACGTACAGCACTTACAAACGCAAATAATGTCTATTAATACTCTTATTTCATGCTATTGCTATTCAAGCAACAGCAATACAAAATATCCAAGACAGCTCACGTTTGCAGTGTAGACCCCAAAGATTTTGTTGGAGGGTGCTGTTCTACAAGACTCGGAGGGGAAGAAAACACAAAAAGGCAAAAGTCATTGGCGGATGTAAACGTCCCGGGCCCACTCCCCAGCCTCGTTCCGTTTCTTGGATGTGACGTCTCCATCCTTGTCACAGTAGCGGTCCTTGGATTTATGGCGACTCCGCTGCCTGGTGCACTCGCTGTGCTCCTGCTCCCCATCTGTGTCTCTTGCACGGTGCCGAGCCTCTCTGCGTCTGTGCTCGCCGCTGCCGTGGCTCTCATCTCTGTGGCTCTGATCCCAATGCGGGGCATAGTGGCCCACGTGTTCATGGGGATAATCTTCCTTTGGCTCCACGTAGGCAGAGTCCCGACTCTCCTGAGTTTCAGAGTCAAACGTCTCTTGCCTGGAGAGGCCTCGGCTCGCACCACTGCGGTGGTTGTGGTGTGGGGCTGAGGAGGAGGAACGGTGCTGGGATTTTTTGACAGGCTCCAGGCAAGGTTCCTCTTCAGGTTGGGAAGCTGACCGGGCAGGAGCAGAGCGCTCAGTCCTCTGATCACCTTGAGAACCCTGGTAACAAGAGGAGCATAGGTGGGCTTGAGCAAAGTCTGTGCACAAGGAACTGAGGGCACAGAGCAAAGACGTTCAAGGGGAGTCCTTGAAAGGATGTAAAATGCCGAAATGAAGCCCAGTCTAGCTCAGGTACTGAATTCCTTTGACAGGGTTTGTAGTGTATTGAACTTTAATTTATAAGTGCTGAAACAGTGCATATAGCTATCAACCTATTTTGGTATAAAGACTAAATGAGAGGGGATACTGTTCTTGTACATATTCTCTTGTGGTTCATAGGTCTGAGATTTTTCTGTACATGGGGTGTAAAGTGACCTACCTCTGCTTGAACACGTGAAAAAGATTAAAACCCACAAGTAAAATGAAATGGTTAAATGACACAACATGGGTCATCATTGTGCTAGGACCTTTACATTTACCAGCTTTGATCCAATAACCCAATAGATAAGGTAATCGGACAAAAGATGAGAATGAAGGACAACAGGTTGTAGTTATTGCTAAGTGGTCCTTGTCCCAGAGGCAAATGCGCCTGGGAATAATTTGCCTTAGGTTTCGTATGCAGTTACAGGTACAACCAGGCCTGGAATGCTGCCAGTCTGCTGTCTTAAGGAGCATGCAGTGAGTGAGTTTTAAAGTCTGTAGTGTGTTCTGTTTGTTGTGCTTAGAGGTACACAACACACAGGATGTGCGTCATACTTTGGATACCATTAAGATCCTGGAGCACGCATCAGGCTGCCTGCTGAGCTTGGATCCCAGGGGTGTCACCTGTAGCACCCCAGCTGCTTTGTGGAGACCTAGAAAGAACTACCCTTACCTGTGAATTAGAGGCTAGGCTCGGGCTGATGGGCAGAGTTGAAGTGGCTAACATACGGCTGAGGAGAGGGTTAGGAAGGTTGCTGCTGGGAGGATGGGTGGCCTTCCAGTAGGCCTCCAGATAGTCGGCCAGGTGCTCACAAGCGTCCTCAAGCTGGTTCTCATCCAAGATCACATCGAACAACTCCTGCAGAGGGAAAGATTGCAGATAGCACCCCTAATGCCAGCCCGGGACTGAGTTCCCGCCACCTTCTCCCTGATGTTATAAAAGGAGCTGCACGCCCCTGTGCTTGCCCGTGCTTACGGGTTCTGCTTTCTCCTTTTCTGTCAGTGGGCTTAGGCAGCTTTTAAGTGTGTGTCACCTCACATTGTTTGAGCACTGAATGCTTAAGCAAAAGGTGTCAAAATAGTCACTGAGGGCTGGGTAGTGCAAAAAAGTTGTATATCATTGCGGAAAGAAGGCATTGATAATGTGGTAAAAAAAACAAAAAGCTGTACAGTACAAAGCAGAAGCCTGTCCTTGGCATAATTCAGAAGTTAATGAGGCACAATTAGGACATGAAACTACTGACAATTTGACATGATCTAAACTTTACAGTAGTTCATTAGGAAACAAAAACAATGCCACACTTCTTAAGATTTTAAAAAGAGCTTATGATAGATTTTAACATACTTCAAAGCAATCAGATGGGTAGAATCAACTTTCATAGCCTCTGGAATGGCTATGAAGTAGAAATGTATTCACAAGTAAGAGTCTGAGTGACTTGTTCAGAATTTTGTTTTTACATGGCCTCAAGTCAGTTCTTAGACAGTTATGAAGGACAGGCAACTTACTCCCTCAGAAGTGAATAATGTCAGCCCCACAGAGGTCCATCTTGTAAAGCAAATTTGTGAAACTCCACCCTTCTATTAGGTGTTAGGGTGAGGACAGCACCACTGCATGTGTTCTGTAGGCATCTGTTGAGGCCCACTAATGTGCTCAGAACACAGGACCTCAGAAGCAGGCAAGACAATGTACTTGTTGGGAACAAACGCTCCTTTAAGTGATGAGGATTCTCTCCCTCAGGCATGTGAAGTGTTTTGTGATTTTCAAAATAAAATACCAGGTCTGATCTCTTCAGCTGGATTCTACCATCTGTGGAGATAACTTACTGGAGGACACTGAGCCAGTTTATCAGCTGCTACCATCTGGACGTTGAGATGTTTAGCTTGCGATTTCCCTCGAGATTTTATTAACCTTTGTAAAACCTGTAAAAGACATGAGTTTTTAACAGAGCAATGTCTGTATTCGGGGAAAGTACAAGGTAGGTTACTGACTCTTGTATCTGGGGGCCTTTTTATATATAGTACAAGTAATTTATAGTAGATTGAGCTATATAATACAAAGTATAAGTTTCTTTGTTTTGTGTTTTTTGTTACTAGGGATTGAACTCAGGACCTTGTGGTTACAAGGCAGGCACAGTGCTACTGAGCTAAACCCCCAGCCTACAAAAGTGTAAATTTATTTACAAAATTAGCATGCTAACATAAATCTGAGTTTCAGGCTTTAAGCATTTCCATACAACTTTAACACTTCTCAAACTTGTCTTATGCCTTCTTTAGGTTTAAAAAAATAGACACCCCCCCCAAGACTTTTGTTTGTGTAAAATTTCTCATATTTACCTTATTAATATTATAAAAAGCCATTTAAAAGTTAATCTGTTAAAATACTTTCTATAAACACAGCTATACCTTTTTATAAAGCTAATATGTGGTTTAATAGACAACAACTTGAAGTCTCCTATATGCTTCACAGGGTACTGTTTTGGGTGACATATACAAAGAAAATCCAACCTGCTATAGATGTGTAATTGGAAAAGGAGGATATTAAGATATGGATATTCTTCTTTGATACTAAAGCTCAGGTGTTACTTCCTTAAAGAGTAGTTGCCATGTGGAATCTGAACAGTGCACTTTTCTTCCACTGGTCTATTTTAAACTAAAATGGATTTTTTACCATGCATGACTCATATCATCATTCAGAAAGTAATGGTTCACCAAGTTCTTCAGATCTTCCAAATGTTGACATATTTCATTGTATATATTAAAATGGTATCATTGGCAGGAAATTCTTCTAGCTGTTGTTCTTGAAGTGACCAGTTCATTTTGTTCATGAAGATTGCTGCCAGATACTCAAGTTATTTGTTCTTTGCAATTAAAAAAGTGGCTAATTTAGTACAAATAATCCTACTGTGTACTTTTTATTACCTAGAGTATGAAAAAGGCTTGTATTTAAGAGATAAAAAATTTAAAAATTCATCCATTTTACTACTTCATTGGGACTGGTCCTTAAATTTGACTGGCTCTTTTACCATGCATGATTCCTGTCATTCACTGATCATATTTGGAAAGTAATGGTTTACTTGAGTCCTTCAGCTCTGTCAAAGTGAAACTAGCTCTCCTTTTAAAATGTGCTTTTAACTATAAGAGCATGATGTTGACAAATATCACAACTTCTAGCTCTCATTGGTACCACTGTCTTGATTCATGTGTAGATTCTAGCGGTTTTACCCAACATTGCTTTTGCACCTTACACGCAAAAGTCAACGTGGTGAAAAAGGGAGTAATATCTTAGTATTATCAATGAAATAATCTTTACCTCCTGGACCCTCTCAAAGGGATCCATCAGCTGCACTATAAGAATGTGCTAAGCCATGAAATTAACTATGCCTTATATCAGTCTTAAAAAATGCGACAGATCTCTGCTAGATAAAATGCCTCTTTCCTGCCACAAAGCTCTCCCACTTATAGTCCTTCCTTCCCACCGAGAAATTCAAACTTGCCAATGGAATTAAACCTCACCTCTGGCTGCAGCCAAACATCCACCTCCACTATGTGTTGGTTGTGTGTCCGTCCATCTGTCCCCCCCCACCACCACTTATGCCACTTGCCCATAGAAGAGGTCACCTAGCCAGCCCCTGGCTCCTGCTCTCGCCATTGCCTTAGCCTAGTCTCGGGTGCTCTTGGCTCATTCTCATCCTCTCATTTCTGGTGCCGAAAGCTCGGGATTGGCCTCCTGACTGTCCTCCTCGGACCCTGCCAAGCCAACACCCAACCAGGGGCCTTCACCCTTGCCATTGCGGACACTCACATCCACACTGGCCCTCAATTCTTGGGTGAGTACTGAGACTAGTGTCTCTTATCCTCTGCTCCTCAGTGTTCCCACTCAAAAAATCTTAGCCCATGGCCAGGACTGCTGCCCCTGGGGGAAGCTGGCTCAGATCCTCTCACTAGTTCTCTCCAGAGATCATCAAAGGGGACAAGGATGCTCCTCCCTCTTGCCCTTTTCAGGAGCTTTTCTAATACTCACATATCTGGCCTCCCTTCATTATGGGAACTGCTCAATCCAAACCCCCACGATCAACCCCCCTGGGATCCCTGTTGGCTAACTTAAAAACTCTCGGGCTCACTGACAACATCAAGCCTAAACGGCTGCTTTCTTATTGCCACCAAGTGTGGTCTCTATATAGATTAGATAATGGCTCTGAATGGCTAGAAACTGGAACATTTGACCTGAATGTTCTTTGGGATCTTGGAAATGGGCTGAAGCCGCCTATGTGCAGGCTTTCATCTGCCTCCGCACCTGCCCTTCTCTTTGTCAGTTCTGTTCCACCCCCCACTCCCGACCTCAGCCCACAAGTCTTCTGTTAACTTTGAAGAGATTAGGGAAATAACTCAGACCCATGAAGAAAACCCAGTGCAATTTCTGTTGTGCCTCACTTAGACCCTTCAGAAATACACCAAAATTGATCCTGCCTCCCAGGCTGGCATGATTGTCATTAATACTCTAGGGAAAAAACAAAAAAGATTGAGGAGGGTCCCCAGGCAAGCCAACACTATCTCCTCAATATAGCTTTTAAGGTATATAATGGCCAAGAAGAACAGGAAAAGGCTGAGATAAGGCTAAATAAATACCAGATGTTTACAAGGGCCCTGCATGGCTCAAATAGCTCACAGCAGGGCCCCAAGACTAAAGGGGCTATAAACAAAACACATGGTGGGGTGCTGCCTAGTCCCTGTTTTAAATCCAATCAAACTGGCCACTGGGCTAAGAAAGTGCCCCAATCCTAGGCTGGGCTTGCATGCAGGAAGGTCATAGGAAGATTGATTGTCTCATTCTCCAGAGAGGGAGGGGGACACCTCTTCCCTCACCTCTTCAACAAGGGGCCATCCTGCCGGCTCACCAATAGCCTACTCTGCCAAAGCTCCTAAGATTGGCTGCTGAGGATTGACAGTGCCCAGGGATGCTGGCCCCCACGAAGATCACCTATCAAGAGCCCAGGGTAACGATCCACATCTCAGGTAAGTCTATCTTGTTCCTGCTGGATGTGGGGGCCTTTTCAGGTCAGACCTTCCCCTCACCCACCCTCATAGTGGGTGTTGACAGGGTGCCCACCAGGCCCCTTATGACCAATGGGCCCTCTGGCCTGCTCCCTTTACACTATCTCCTTTACCCATGCCTTCCTAGTTCTCCCAGCATGCCCTAGGCCTCTTCTTGGATGGGACATTTTGAGTAAATTTAAGGCTGCTATCACTCTCTACCCAGCTTCTTCTACACCAAATACCTTGCTCTTATTACAAGCCATGCCAGACTCTTTTACCCCTCCTTCCCTTACCTCTTTCCTTGGTTGACCCCAAAGTCTGGGACCTCACTCAACCCTCACTCACTGCCCATCATACTCCAATCCAAATCCCAAGACTCCAAGACCCCTCCCTTTCCCCTAGTGTTTCCCAGTACTACAGTTGCAGGGACTTAAGCCCCTCATCCAAGACGACCTCCGAAAGGGCCTGCTCCATCCCATGCATTCCCCCATCCTTCAGTAGTCAAACCCAATGGTTCTTATCGCCTTGTACAAGACTTGCATGCCATTAATGCCACCATTCTCCCTATACATCCAGTTGTCTCCAACCCTTATACCATCTAACACAACCATTTCACACTTGTCCATCTCAAGGATGCCACCTTCACTGTTCCTCTACACCCCGACTCCCAAGACCTCTTTGCCTTCATTTGTACAGACCCAGATTCCCATCACTCCCAACAGTACATCTGGACTGTCCTCCCCCAGGGCTTCCAAGACAGTCCTCCCCTTTGGTCAGGCCCTCGCCTCTGCTCTCTCTCAACTCTTGCCTTCCACCCTGATTCAGTACATTGATGGTCTGCTTCTCTGGAGCCCCACTTTGCAAGACTCACAGGCCCACACTGCTCTCCTAAATTTCCTGGCCAAGTGAGGATATTGAGTCTCTCCCAATAAGGTCCAGGTTCCCCAGACTTCAGTCACCTACCTAGGAGTTTCTCTTTCCCCATGCAAATGGGAGATCACCTTAGACAGAAAAGAGCTTATGAGACTTGCCAGTATCCCCCTCCAAAGCTGAATCCTGTCCTTTCTTGGACTGGCTTGTTACCTCCACCTGTGGATCCCCAATTTTGGCCTCTTGGCCAAGCCCCTTTATGAGGCTGCCAAGGGCGACCCTCTGGAATCCCTGGACCCAATACACATACATGCCTCATTCAAAGCTCTCAAAACTGCCGCCTTTCCAGCCCCTGCTCTCTCCCCAACCTTAGCACTCTTTCCTTTTATATGTCACCGAGAGACAGGGGAGCACCCTCGGGGTGGTGGGACAAGATAAGGGCCCCTCCTTCACACCAGTAGCTTATCTTTCCAAACAAATGGGCCCTACCTTTCGGAGCTGGCCTGCCAGCCTTCGGGCACGAGCGGAGGCTGCCTTTCGAGCACAAGAGAGCCCCAAACTGACTTTCCGCCAGTCCACTGTCACTGTCATCAGGTCCCCACATCATCTGCAAGATCTCCTGACTCTCAGGGCTATCAAACCTGTCCCCTTCTCGCCTCCAACTCTTCCATGCCACCTCTTCCTCAAAGACCCGCACTTCACTTTACAATCCTGCCTCCCTCCTACCAGATCCTAAACACAACCTTTCCCACTCATGCCCAGAAACTCTCCATCACTTACTCCCCTCCCTCCCAAGTATCTCTCCTACTCCCATTCCAGACCCTGATTACACCCGGTTCATCTTCCTCTCCTGCTTCTGGTCCTCCACGAGCTGGATATGCAATTGTCTCCTCAGAGGAGGTAATCAAGAACCAGCCCCTTCCTCCAGGCACCACCTCCCAAAAGGCCCAGCTCATAGCCCTCACCCGAGCTCTGATGCTGGCAGCCTCCACAAGTCACCACCTGCACAGATTCAAAGCACACCTTCCACATTCTTCATTCCCATTCAACTATTGGGCAAGAAGGGATCCCCCATCACCAATGGGCCACTTATTGTAAAACTCCTTAAGGTGGCCCAACTTCCAGCATGAGCAGGAGTTATCCTTTGCAAGGGACATTAGCCCTCTGACAGTACTATTCCTCTGGGCAACAATAAGGCAGACACTGAAGCACAAAGGGCAGCCGTACAGACAATCCAGGCCACACGACTGCTGGCTGTTCCACCCATATCTCAATATGACCCACTAGAAAAACAATGGCTCCAACAGGGCGCATCTCAGTCAGGAGACTGGCTTCTCTTCAAAGGTTGACGTGTTCACCCAGATTCCCAGGCTACCCCTATCCTGACTGGCATCCACAGCACCCTACACATTGGATACGTATCTCTCCTCCATCTCATTTGCCCTTCTGTGTATCATTCCCTCTCAGGCCTCCCTTGTCCAACAGATAATCCACAGATGCCCCATCTGTTCTGTCACTTCCCCGCAGTGCCTCCCCTACACTGCAAGCACGTGGTCGCCTCCCAGGGAAGATTGGCAGAGTAATTGTACACACATGCCCCACACAGACACGTCCTCTCACCCTGGTAGATACCTTCTCAGGTGGATCGAGCCTTCCCCACCTCCGTGGAGGGTGCTGCCCCAGTTGCTCATACCCTCCTCATTGAAACCATTCCCCTGTTTCGAGCTGCCCCGCTCCATGCAGTCTGACAACGCCGGCCTTTGTCTCACGTGTCACCCAACTCATGGCCCAATCTCAACATAAATTGGAAACCACATCCCATACCGACCTCAACCTTCTGGGAAGGTACAAAAGGCAAATGGACTACTTAAGACACACCTGTCCAAACTGACCTTGGAGCTCCAGGCTACATGGACTGAGCTCCTTCAACCCCTTTCCCTCACCCGATTAAGAGCAGCACCACACAAGCCTCTCAGTCTCAGCCCGTTTAAGCTTATGGATGGGAGACCCTTCCTCCTAGGAAACCTTCCAGAATCCCTTCCCCCAGTGGGTGGTTATTTCCCTACCCTTAATTCTCTCCTTCACTTTCTCAGGACCCATGCTGATCAGTTCCTACCTTAGCACATATCCCACCGACCACTGCCATCTACAGGTTGCTCCTGGAGATCAAGTTTACCTCAAAACCCTTGCCACGGGGACCTTACAGCCTAGATGGGAGGGCCCTCTAGAGGGGGCTCTCACCACCCCTACAGCAGTCAAACTTGTAGGAAAAACACCCTGGTTTCATCTCCCCAGAATAAAGCGTTTCACCCATCTCTGGCCAAACCTCAATTTTCCTCCCTCCTATCAGGACCCACCAAGATCAAGCTCACTCGCATCCCCCAAAGAATAAATGATTTCATATTCTTTCTCTGGCTGACATCCCACTTCTCTGACTTCATCTCTGAATTACAACAAGACCTTCATTGGTTTACCCCTTGAGGGAACATGGTCAAAGAGATCCTCCTTCGGATCAAAGACCTCTGTTTCCAAGGCACTCTCTCAGACTTTTCACCTGGCGAGGTTTGGTGGTGGTTAACATTCCTCCTCTTGTGCTGGTTAATGCTACCCTCACTCCACTTTCATGACCTTCCCTTATGTTAACCTGCCATTCAGCCTTTTACATAGCCCTGTCCCTTGTTTGGGCAATTGGACTCTTTTCCATCTCATCCCAAGACTGGTCTCATACACAAAGATTCCTCTTCGCTCTTGTTTTCCTTCTGGCAGGCTTATCGCCACTCCATCATGCTCCTCTGTCTTTGGCCATATAGCCAAGCTCCTCCTCTTCCATCACCCCTTCTTAAAGCCCTCTATCTACAGGCCCTACAGGGTGATACTTTCCCTTCTCCCCATCATTTCAAGTGGAGAGACACTGCCCCGCTGTATGCCTGTGAATGCTCTGGCACAACTTGGGTGATAGACCACAGGCTGGGAGGTATTAAACCTCTACATTATGGGACAGGCACTTTCGTGTCATATACTTACATTAATTTACAATGTTACAAGACCACAACACTCTACTCACAGAGGTCAGACCTACCAAATGGGAAAGATAACGCTACTACAGACAGATGGGTTCATGGGCTTGCTGGACGCTGACTACCCACTGGGGAATGTCAGATGGAGGGGGTGTACAAGATCAGACATGAAAACAACAGCAAGAAGAGGTGGAAAAGCAAATACCAGAAGCTCTTAAAACACCTCTCCCATATAAGAGCATTGATTTGTCTTCCCTAAAAAAAGCGGTTGAAACACACAAAAGACTCCTACATCTTTTTTTTTTTTTGGTACCGGGGATCAAAGGTCCTTGGGCTTGTGAGGCAGGCAGCAGAATCACTGAGCTAAATCCCCGGCCCTACTCCTCCATCTTTTTAACACCACCCTGCTTAACTTGCCTGGAAACCAGACTGAGTGCTGGATGTCCCTGTCACCCCAATTCCAGCCAAAGTCCCCATACCAATTCCACTTAACTGGATTCTCCCTGCTCCCCAAAATATCACAGCAATACTAGGTCCCTTTGCAACTCAATTAGAGCCCTCCACCTATGGTGAATAGACCTGTATAAATTCATCCCCCATAAGTCAATACAATTCTACCCCTTGTGCCAGAGTTATCCATATTTCCACATCAGGCGCTTGTCTCCCTAAGGGTTTGTTTTACATTTGCAACTCCCAAGCCTTTCGCTGTCTCAACTCAACCCCATCCTCTCTCTGCTACCTAGGCTTCCTTAGCACCCCCCTCCCCCCATGATTTATACAGAATCTCAGTTAACACAGCAAGCCTTGCCTCACAACTGCCACCTATCTGTCACCTCACCAAGCGTGCCCTTCCCGCACTGCCATTTTGAATGGGAGCCGGTGCTCTGGTAGGAATTGATGTTGGGGTGGCAGGAATCTCAACACATTTCCATTACTCCCTGTTCCAAGAGCTAAATTAAGGTATGGAAAAGGTAGCTGACTCTCTGGTCACCCTGCAGTCCCAAGTCAATTCACTGGCAGGCGTGGTATTCCAAAATATTCAGGCCCTAGACATAACAGCAGAAAGCGTGGGAGCATGCGTCCTGTTAGGGGAAGAATGTTGCTGCTTTCTAAACCAATCGAATTGTTGGAGATGGTAAAGGAACTCAGGCAAGGCATAGAAAAATGTAGACAAGACTGACCACAGTTTCTACCAGGATTCGTGGGCCCCCTCACTATTCTCTGCACAATCCTACTTTTCAGATCCTGTCTGTTCTGTTTTCAAAATTTCTTGCAGGAGCGTATGCGAGCCTTTTAAGCCAGACAGTTGGCAAACTCATCATGCAGGTTACCAGCCCCTCACCACATAGGACCACACCACTGTCACATAAAGCCCTATCCATCACCCCAGATCCCTTATCAATGCCCCCTGGCAGCAGGATGCAGATACAGAAAAGAGACCTCACCCCTATTCCATAATAGCAAGAGTCTGGGATGACAGAGCTCTCTGCTAGATAAAATGGCTCTGGCAGCCTCAGCTCCTAAATGCCTCTTCCTGTCAGGTAATAAATCACTCAGGGAAACAACCTAACTTTCCTGCCATGAAGCTCTCCCACTTATAGTCCTTCCCACTGAGAAATTCAAACTTGCCAATGGAGTTAAACCTCACCTCTGGCTGCAGCCAAACATCTACCTCCACTATGCCTCTACCCCTTATGCCACTTGCCCATATAAGAGATCAGGCAGCCAGGCCCTGGCCACTGCTCTCGCCGTTGTTCAAGATAGCCCAGCACCCCGTCCCCTAATAAAGGCCTAGACTTAGGTGTTCATGTTTTCGGCTCATTCTCATCCTCTCATTTTCATTTCTTCAAACTCTATATACATCCATCATAAAGTGTAGGCTGTTATAATTGGAAAGCAGAACATAAATCATTTTAGTAATGTCTGACTGTATGGAGCAAACAGTAGCAACCTTACTTACCTTGGGAGAAGAAATCTTTACGTAGACTATAATAGGGGCCAGAGAGGTTTTACTAAGTTGAGCTGGATGATTAATAGTATCTGCATCAAGGACTACCAATTGCAATGTTCTTGCAAGTTCAAAGATCCTTTCAATTTCACTCTGAACTTCCGCTGTAAAGAGTTGAGCAGAGTTTATTTACTTAGGTTAAGATGAATTAAAGTGGTACACTATTCAACGGGAAGTCAACCATGTTAATGTTTACAGGGACACAATTGATAGAAGGTACCTTTTAGAAAGGGCTAGTTCTTCACTCTTAGAAACTGAAGAATTAATCTCTCACAGCCAGCTCTAAATTTTGCAGCTAGTACACTATTCTGGAAATTAAATTCTTTTTCACTGTCTCTGCTGACTAATTTTTCATGTTACAAAACTTTTTGTGTGTGGTGGTTTTTTTGGTACTGGGGATTGAACTCAGGACGTTGCACTTTTGAGGCAGGTGCCGGAACCACTGAGCTAAATCCCTGGTCCCAAAACTTTTTATTCTATGGAATTATTTCATAAAAATGCTATAAAAAACTCAAGATGTATTTGTCGTGTTTCTCACCACTTTCCCCTAGCAACCATTGCCAGCTTTCTTTTCACTGAATGAGCTTATCTGTGTTTGAATCCATTACTGTTCTTTCCAGATAAGCTTATCAAGCTGAAGTAGAATGTAAATCAGGAGAGATGTGAAAGATACTTGTCTAAAAACACCTCATGTTTTCTGCCAACAAAGGAACAGTCCTGTACTACATGTTTTAAAAGGGCAGCTATGTATCAGAAACAACACTAGAAATCCAAGCTATAAAATTTACAGAAAACCTATTACCAAACATCTAAAAAGCTGCTTGGACTCCAGGAAAATTATATTCAGTTTACTGCTCCGTGATCATGTCGAAAGATTCTAACATCGCATTGAATATTCTCTGTGATCGCTGTTTGCCGCCTGTAGCTACTGTGCACTTGAAATGTAGCAAGTATAAATGAACAACTAGATTTAAAATTTTTGAATACCACCAGAAGCTATTGCAGTAGGCAGCATAATTGATCTGTAAAGAATAACATGGAGCTTGCAGTTCCCACTGCCATCACAGATGTTCACTTCTGTGAGACTTTTGGTCAGCAAATTAGAAACTGGAATACCTTTAACTCTGCTTATGCACTGGAATTCATGCTGGAAGATTCCTGAAGATAATTTTAACTAGTATATTTTAGAAAAGGCAAGTCACTAATTGTTCACCTCACAATCTATGAGTAGAGTCCTTTACCTTGATGTATTTAAGAGATCAGGGACCCAAGCATTTGAGATATTAGCTTTTAACAATAACATTTGGTTCCATGTCACCCATGACAGTTGCTAGATGAAAAAATAAATTTGATAAAGCTTCTGAATTTAACAGTTCCTAAGAATCACAGGGACCAGAGGAGCACATAAACTACGAGTGCAGTAAAGTTAGCAAAATTTGGACTGCTCCTACCTCACAGAGTAAATGACGCAGTCCTTTGAGCAAAAAATAAGGAAAAAAAAGACTTCCGAAAAACTTAAGATTTAAGAGACCTTTGAAGTATACTATATTGACCTCATTTGGACCCTGATTGAATCAAACACTATGAATATATAAAATTGTTTAAATCTGTGTGATTTTGGTAACTGGGGGGATACAAATGAAAGGTTCTATAGCCCTGTTGAGGAAAGTGTTTCTGGTACTGTAACCTAGGTCCTTCGGCTAAAATGTCACTTCTGCAGGCCTTCCTATTACAAAATTATACCCTCCTCTTTAGCTTACTCTACTCCTTGGCCTGCTATTTCTTAAGGACTCTTCAGCCACTGGCCAGATGTCACTAAGTTTTGTCCATGTCTTTCCTTTGAGACAAAAACTTGAGGATTTATTGAATATGATTTCACAATTGATGTAATTCAAGTATTCATCTCACATTAGTGAAAACAAACTACAACAATGAAAACATCAAGGCTGACAGCATGTGGAATTTTGAACTTGAAACCACTACTACAAATCCTTCCATACCATTAGGTCTTTGATACTAGCAGGCACCAGCCACTGAAACGGCGTGTGTTTTTCCTGCACTCTGGCACATGGAATTGCTGTCTCGTTCGAGCTCATTGTCTTTTTTTTTTTTGGTACCGGGGATTGAACTCAGGTCCTTGCGCTTGCGAGGCAGGCGACGGAACCACTGGGCTAAATCCCCAGCCCTCGTTCGATCTCATTGTCCTCTGTACGAGAGGAATGTTTAAGCAGGCTGAAGGTCCCCAGTGCTGCACAGACTTACCTAAGCTTGACCGCGTGTTGGACCTTTCTATTATTGCATGCTTACTGGGGTTGTTTAATACTGAGCGTTTGGCAAGGGAGATGTCAGCGGTGACCCTTGTGATGGATATCCTGTTGCAGAGAAAAAGGAACAGAAGAACCCCAGTGGTTAATCTAGTGAGAGGACAAAAACACATGCCCAAATATAAATTTGTACACACACACATCGTGTTTTCAAGCCATCTGTTAGGACACTTAATAATCGAATTTTGTTTATCCTACATCACCCTTACTTAGCATTTATTGGTTACTTACCAGATGCAAGTTATGTACTGAGAACTTTGAGTCATCTGATTAGATCCCCAAATAGGTAAGATGAGGAAAATGAGCCACAGGAAAATTTATCCAGGACTATATATTTACTAAATGATGGAGTTAAGATTTGAACCTAGACTCATTCATAATATACCTACCCCCTATCCCCTATACCATAGTTCAGTGCCAAGATAGATATGGAAAAGAAAGATGTAAATGTAGTCTTCCCCCAGAGCTAAAATCCCGCCAGACGTGAGGAGGAAGGAAGACACATTAGCAGATGATTAAAGATTACACTGACTTGTGAAAGAGCGTTCAGGGTATTGTGAAAGACACTGAGTTGAGGGGCTCTCCTTAGGATATAAATGAGGGTGATGGAATGCAGAAGCTGGAAATAACAAATGCCTTATACTGAGAATGCTGAATATTCAGTGAATATTCAAGTTGGCAGTAGGGAAAGCTGTGGAACAAAATTGAAGGCTCACAATATCTCTGAAGAGGGTGGACAAGGTATGAGAAACAAGAGGCTTGCTTTAAAAGTCTGCTTCAGAGACACCCTCCAGAACATCCAGCAGCCAGGTGATAATTCTTTCTGCCTGATAAAGACCATAAATTTATTATCTAGTGGCAGAAAACCGGAGTACTCCTGACCAGGGTACACTAGGCAGGGTGGGGATAGCAAATACCAGATAGAAAGAAAAAAGGATTCTGATTGTTGAGCTGCCACTCTTTTTCCCCCATCTTAGAATTTTGGTAGCCAGGCTTAGATATTTCTATCCTAAAGGGATCAGAAAAGAAGATTGTTCTGGGGGAACGTGACTGCCAAAGAGTAAAGAGCCAGATAATGTATATCGGAGGCTGTCTATGCAAAGTCTCCAGCAGGAGTATAACAGGGAAGCCCCAAATCAGGGTCCAGCTACGTGATGTCCCCTCCTCAAACAGGAGAACAGCAGCCTTCACTGGGCAGGCATCCTAGGAAACCTCTTACGCGGAAGGGATGATTATATCTCTGAAACTGGAATTTATATTTGAAAACAGTAAGAAACTTTTGGAAATTAGAAATGAGAAAATTCAAAAGGGTTAAATGATAAAGTCAAGGAACTCTCCAAAAGAGTAAACAACAACAACAAAAGGCAAAGAGGTGGAAATAAGAAAGCTAAGAAAATGAACAGTAGCCAAGGGGTTCAAATCCAAAGAACAGTAATGGGGAGAGGGGTGATTGAAAATAATGGAGATAATTGCATAATTAAGGGTCTGATTTTTCAAATTGAAGGCAATCAAGCATAATTTAAAAAGATCTACACCAAGATGTATTATAAATTTCCTAACACGGGATATAAAGGAAACAGATTCCAGAAGAATACAGGTCCCACACAGGGGTCAGGAATTAAAAAGCTCTGTATTTCTCAACAGCAAAAATAGGGGCCAGAAGATAATGGAGCAAAAAGCCCTCAAAATGCTGAGGGAAAATTATTCCAATCAGAATCCCTTATTTAAAGCATCGGGTAAAGAGGAAGATTGATTAAAGACATTTTTGGAGATTGGAGGCCTCAAAAGATTTTATGTACTCTTGTAGGGAAACTATTAGAGGATTTTGACTCTCAACAGACAACAAAGGATCTAGGAAAGAGGACCTTCAACCCAAAAGAGGGTGAAAGGAATCCCCAAGGCTAATGTTGGGGGATGTCCTAGAATGTCACCTAGTACAGAGAGGAATAGTGACTGGAGCAGGGTGAAATACTCCCAGAGAAAAGTGCAAGAAGAGAAGTCATAATTTTGGCAGACTCCACATTCAGCATTTACGAAAACCTTGTATATATTCAAATAAGCCATGTCATTTACTATAATCACTTTTTTCTTAGGTGTTTCTTACGATTTCTATGAAAGAAATAATTTTACTTTTCACATTTATTTAATTTTCTATGTGTGTCATGAATGTGGTTCCCAATTCTCCTGTAGCTGTCAAAATCCCTTCATAGTATATTCAAATGGATCTGTCTGGTAATGTCTCAAGTGGTGGGAGTTCGGAGGCTGAGACAGTCAGGTATGTATGGGAGAGAGGGGAAGGTGACTGGTTAACCCCATGTTCCCCTCCATATTGACTTCCTATGAAGTCAGTAGCTAAGGCCTGACACTGAAGAGTCCAAGAGCAGATTGAGGTCGTTAGAGGTGAGGAGTGAATACTGGGAGATGTAACTCTAACAGTGAAAGCAATTGGTTTCTGGAGAATGCGGCCTTTGGCAAGGTGTGGAAAGGCACCTACTTGTATTTTGAGAAAAAAGCTGTGTGTATCATAAGCTTTATGGCACACAGTTTTATGAGTGTCAATTCTCAGAGCTGTCTTTGTCATTGCATTGATGACACAAAGGTTTCCGTGACCCCCCACCCCAGTTCCTTGTGCTGTCTCTTTATCATCAGGCCTCTATGTGACCTCACCCCTAGCAACCGTGGAGCGGTCTGTTGTCCTTAAGGTTTTGCCTTTTCTAGAAGATCCTGTAAATGGGATTTTCTGAGTGCACCCTTTCAAGTCAGACTTCCTTCACTTTGCTTAACGGATTTGAGATTCATCCACATGTTGTGTACGCCAGCAGTTCATTTCTTTTATTGTTGAGTGGGACTGCTGTATGTAAAATGAATACATCTTTCAGTCTTCAAGCTTTTTCAGTTTGATGAAAACTTGGTTTAGCATTTAAAAAGCAACAACCATGGCTTGGGATATAGCTCCGTGGTACAGTGTGATCCCTAGTACCACGTACACACAACAGCAACAACCAGGGAAAACACTAAAGCCATCAGTTTAAAAAAATGTTTCATCACTCACAACAGAAAATAGGCTGGAGCATCCAAAGCTCAGGGATTATTTTGAAGTGGCTTTCTCTACTGGGAGGTGGGTGTGGAATGGCAGGGCGAGGGCATCTGGAGTCCTGCAGGTAATAGGGTTCCCTTTGTTCTGAGCACCTGTGTCTCTCCCGAGGCAGTCATCCCTTGATGTGTATTTACGGAGTGCCCGCTACATGCGAGAGTCATGGTTCAGGGTGTTACCGCGGATGGGGTGTGGCTGTGCACACTGTGCACACCTGTAATCCCCGCTCTCTGGCAGGCTAAAGTGGGAGGAGCATTTGAACTCAGGAGTTTAAACCCAGTCTGGGCAGCATAGCAAGACCTTATCTTGAAAGGAAAATAGTGCTGGTCAGGGGATTTAGCTCAGTGGTTCTGCCGCCGCTGCCTGCTGCGCAAGCGCAAGGACCGGAGTTCGATTCCCAGTACAAAAAAAAAAAAAAAAAAAAAATAGTGCTTTTGGGAATTTAACATTTTATGGGGAGAGGGCAGAGAGTAGATAGAAGCAGACAGGTATCTGATACCATGACCACTGCCATTAAATAATGCGGGCTGGTGAGGAGGGAGATGTACGGTATAGTTCCATTCAGAGATGAGCTCTCGGGTAAGGTGACATTAATCAGAGACCTAAAGGGAGGGAGGGAAGGAGCCATGTGGATACTGGAGGAAGAAGGTTCCAGGCAGAGGAAAGGGTGCTAGGCATTTCGTCATCACAGCTGACGGCGCGAGAACACTGCTGAGACTGACAGTGACCAGCCAGGCCTCTGACCCGATTATGTCCTTAGTGTTACAGGATGGATGGGACAGGCCATTATTTCAACTCCTGAAGTTGTGTTTTGGAAATTACCATTGCTTGGGATTCTAGAGAGACCTTGAAAATCTTCACAAAATTCTCAGACAACTTAGATTATAGCGGTGGATTTCAACCTTCACAGTGTATCAGAGTCACCTAGTAACATTTTAAAGTTACAGATGACCATATCGTGCCCTAAAGATTTGGACAAGGGTGGGATGTAGGCCCTTGAACTTTTTCATTTTTGTTTTCCACATGCTTCAGGGGATTCTAATACGCACCAGTATATTAGAAATCCACCACTTTTGGAAAAGGTTTCTCACATCTAAGTGGATTTCCTACATCAGAAAATAAAGTGATGTAATGTTTCCTAGGATTATTGATTTCCAAGAAGAGATTCCTTCCCAGAAGATTCTGGCAAAGGTGTACATATCCCTGCAGCAAGCCAGTATGCATTCCAGGCACCTCAGTGCTGATGGCTGACTTTTTCAAAGTCACTGGGGAAGCAGAGTGAATTTCTCCCAGCTGGTAGCTCTCCTTCTAGTCATGATTTGCTCATTAATTTACCTGTCATTGTCCTACATGTGAATCTGAAGATCGCTGTGTTTATCTGACACCATTGGTATTAGGATTTAGATCTAAAATGTCCACCCAAAGTCTGTATTTGAAAGGTGATTGGATAGAAGGGGTGCTCTGCTCATCAGTGGACTTACCCACTGATGAGCTCAGTAGCTGAATGTGCAGTTGGCAGGTGGGGCCTGGTTGGAGGTGGGTCACTGGGGCCCTGACCTGGAAGGCCGTGTTCTTGTCCCTCTCTGCTTCCTGGCTGCCATGGGCTGAGCTCCTTTCCTCCGCCATGCCCTTCCATCACGCCATGTCTGCCTTGGGGCCAGCTAACTGTGGACCGAGTCCTCTAGAAACAGCAGGCAAAATAAACCTCTCCTTTAAGTTGCAGGTTTGGGGCATTTTGTTCCAGCAATGAGAAAGTTATTAATGGTTAGGGTGGGTCCAACTTTAAACAGGCTATTTATTACATACAAGAAAAAGATGATGATTTATCATCTCTGACCTGACACATTTACGTTATTCTACAATGTGAATAATGATTCTGACAACTCTCCAGGACTCCCACAAATGAACTTAACTGGGCTTTAGAACAGAAAAAGAATTTCTGATTCTCTCCTTTTTATCACCACCATTTCCTGCCATATGTTCTCCATTGTGGGCTTAAAATTATTTTAAATAAATTTATTTTAAAAATTAAGTAACATTTTCTCTTTTAGAATGTCATACATATATACATACCCCCCTGAGGCTCTTGATGAGCCCCCCAATCCCCCTCCCCCAAGCTATCTTGCCTTGGCAAAAGCAAAGTCATGTAGTGATGGTTACTTTGGGTGTCTTTCCATGGTGGGGGGTGTTCAACTTTCTCATGTCTTGAAATTCTACCTATGGGCTCTTTCTTTGAGAAACTTTAATTGGTGATCACAAGCTTGGATGTTGAATTTTAGCCCTGTGACTCAAAATGTGTTGAGGTAGGTTTATTAGTACAGCCATATGAAAATTACTTTGGCCAGAAAAGATAGAGTGAGCAAACATCCAGATGTTTTATGTTTTTCCTAAATAAAATCAATCTGGATGGCTAATAGTACAGAACATGGGTCCATGGTATACACTCAGGCTGGAGTCTGTCTCCCAAATTTAAAACATGCTCAGGTTTAAATAGACGTAACAAGTCAGGAAATTCCATCCTGTTTTCCCATCTTTAGCATTTAGGAAATGGCAGTGGGTTCACTCATTCATGGACAGCACAGTGCCTGTTCCAGTGCAAAGCTTTAGGCGTGCATGCTCATGTAGACGATTCCAATGTGTGACAAATGGCGGAGCCAGCGTCAAGCAATGAAAGCTAAACTGGGCAGATCAGAGATATGTCTTTTATACTTAGCCAAGCCAAAGGCTGTATTTCCTGGCACAAAGTAAAATATTTCATAAAGTTATGGCAAAATAAGAAAGTCTAATTAGGAGCATTTGGTTAGCTAGACCTTGAATGTAAAGTTTTTTGTACCTCGAAACATAGCTTTCCTCTTCTTATCCTTTTCAATTTTATGCTTGAGAACTAACAACACGTTTCCTGCTGTATGTTTCCTTCCCCACCTTTGTCACACTGTCAAAAGCCAGTTTAAGAAATGATTATAGGAGTAGGTATGGTCTAGATAATATGACAGTAAGGTATCTAAAAGATCACTGAACCCTAGATACTATTTCTTGTACTTATATTGTTAGGATGAGAGAAATGCACGTGGAACAGATTTATCTTGTTCAAAATACAGAAATGTACACTAGACCGCCATGTTCCCAGGTACTCTATAATGTACTCTTCATTTAAATATTGAGGTTTCTGTTGGACTCCTATCATTGCTCTGATTCTCCAGGAGCTGCCTAATTCTTTACTCTGCCACCCCTTGCTTATTTTATTCAAAGCTACTATTTAGGAGACTGTAAGCTTCCTGAAGCCAAAGCTCTTATTTGTTTTTGCTCCTCACAGTACCTGGCACATGCAGAATACTCAAAAGACCTGCTTGGGCAAGTGGAGGAGATGGGCGGAGGATTAAGTGCAGGCTCATTGGCATGGGACACCTGATAATGGCCCCACCTTTTATCAGCCATTCTGTTTTACTGCTAGCATTTTCACCTTATGTTTATATATGAGCTCTTCCTAGGTAGAGATGGCAACTTTAGCATCTCTGAGCTTCTCTGGCAGGGAGTATACAGCAGACACTGATTCAGTGCCTGTCCATCCACATCAGGTACTGCTCTAAGCACAGCAGTAGTACTGAGAACACCTCAGTTCACAAAACATGAAAAACCCTGCCCTTGTGGAGTTAATATTCTGCTTGTTGAGGAATAAACTAAATAAATATAATGCATAAAAGCACTAGAAAAACAGGAGGTGGGCATCTGGGAGAATGAGAATGTGTGTGAGAGTATGAGTGTACGCATGCCTATGTATTATCAAGGAAAATATTTAAGGGAAAAGTGTTCCTGGCAGAGAAAACTGCACTGCGCCAAGGCCCGGATGTGGAAATGGACCTGGCTGTCTGAAACTCTCATGGAACAATAAAGAACTAGGCAGTGCGGCTGGAGCAGAAGAGGCGAGGGGCAGTGCAGTAAGAGCAAGAAAGACAGAGGATATGTGGGAAGTCAGACCGTGGAGGACCACACAAGCGACAGTAAGTACTTCGGTTTTCTCCGAAGAAGGTGGTCACTGGATGGCTCTGAATAAAGGAGAGATGGCATCCTGCTCACCATTCAGTAGTCATTCAGCCTGCTGACTGGACAGCGGACTTTAAAGCAAGGAGACAAGGCAAGAAACTACTGCAACAATCCAGGGAAAGGGAATGGTGTCTCAGACCAAAAGGATAACAGAGAGCTATGAGAAGTGGTTAGGCTGTGGATATATTTTGAAGATAAAGCATTTGCATGTAAGATGTAAGAAAAAACAGGGATGACTGATCTGAAGCTGAAGTTTTGGGACTCAAGGATGAAGAAGCTATCATTTGAGATGGGGAAGGTTATGGGATGTTTTGGGGAGAAGTATGGACATTAAGTCTGAGAAGTTCAGTAGACATCTAGTGTGATATTAAATAGGCAGTTGGATGTACATGCCTGGAATTTAAGCAGAGACCAGCAAAGGAATGGTATTTAAAAATCTCATACCAAAGGAGTAAATGTAGATGGAAGGGAGAAAAAGCCAAAGGGCAAAAGCTAGGACAGCATGGTTCCAGAAACCAAGCAAATAAAGTATTTTGTCATCTATTGCTCACAGACAAATAACATGAAGACTGAGAAATCACCCCCGGTTTTTGCAATGGGAAGGCCATTGGTGATCTTGACTAGTTATGACAGAGTGAGTAGTGTGGGTAAAAGTGAACTGGAGTAGACATAAGAGAGTGAACAAAAGCAAATACAATGTATACAACTCAGTTTTGCTGGAAAGAAAGAAAAATGTGAGCTGGGTGGGCGGGGATGTAAAGTCAGATGTGAGGAAAAGTAGCTACATTTTGGTATGCAGATGGATTTCCATTAGGAATTACTGGTAAAGAAAGGGAAGCATTCCCATGCCTGAATAAATTGCATGGGAAGGATGCTGGGGATCTGGAGCCCAAGGAGCTGGGGTGGGGGAGTTGGCCGTTGCTAGGAACAACATGAGGGAGGCAGAAGAACACCCCAGTGCATGCACAAAGGAGGAGATGGTCTGAAAGTCTTTTGAAAGAGTGGGAAAATGAACAAAGAGGGCTGTATGGCTATGATGTTGGACAGGGATAGAAGCCAGTGGATCGAGACTTGAGGGCGATACTGCCAGGTTCATGGCCATGTTCAACTGACGGATGCAGGTACAGAACTTGAGCACTGAGTGTGTGCAAAACAAATATGACAAATATATACTGAATCAGGTTGAACAAGTGAAACTTATGCGCTGTTATTATATGGAAGCCAGATGGTGATTTTTGTCTTGAGATCACATGCCTGCCCCCAACAAGAGTAATGTCATCTCTAAGAAGAAAATCCATAAATTATTCTGAAATACTCACCGCCCTTCAAATCTGTGTTTTAAAAAATCAAACAATGCTTTTTGCATCATATCTGTGACCTGTAATTGAGCAAGCAATAATGTTAAAATATTACTGATTATGATAAAATACTACTATTCATGATAAACCAATTTCACCTCTCTTAAGGACACTTAGAAAACTGAGCTTTGTGTGTGGAAAGAGTAGCATGTGAGGTTGCCAGTTTTCTGGTTGTGTTCCAAGGAAATGACAATTTAAAAAGCAGAAATCTCCGAACTTACAATGTTGCAGTGACAAAGAATTACACTGCAGTTGCTTTGAGTCACTCTCGTTTTGATACTATTTCCTGGACCAAGTAAACTGTCAAAAACAGAAATCTCTAAGCAGTAGCCAAAGCACTAAGCAGTGCGTACCACAGCTTGAAAACCAACATGCTTTGCTGCCATGACCTCCGTAAGTTCAAGAGTTAAGAATGGAAGGTGGGGTCACAGTTGCAGGAGAGAGCAGCTACTCACCTCGTACCCCTTCAGCGAGGGGCCCACCAGGACCACTGGCCGCATGGAAGGTACCACATCATAAGGAGGGGTGTGCTCTGTCTGCAGAGAGAGGAGACCCTGTCACACACTCAGGCAAGGGGAACTTCAGATGTTTCACATACAGCAAGATGCTCTTTTTGAACTCTGTACTGTGAGGTCCAGCAAACCCAATCAAGGACTGTGGATTTATTTTCAAGTTTTCAAGTTACTGAGAGGTTTGTAGTTTTCTTGCTCTTCTCAAGAAACACTATTGTCCAAGTTAATGCCACAAGCAGGAGGGGCTGCTTTTGAACAAAAACTAATTGGTAGTACAAACGGAAACGTGCCTCATGCAGAATGGGTGCTTTAGGCTTGACCAGAGGTTAATACTGCTTTTCAGGTGCACGTGGGTTTTCTCAAGAGTTGAGAATGATCAGCCCTGGCATGGTTAATTATGGAAGGAAGAAAGCTTCTATTACCTTTGCATTTTAGATGTTTGTCTTACCGGCCTGAAACCTAGTTTCAAAACACTGGGCCTCTCACAACCAAATACTGGAAATTTTATGTTATTCTGAGAGTTTAAATTGGCTTGTATGCTTATTCCAGTATTCCAACAGTATTCATGTTCACTGTTCAGAGCTTTAGCAATTAATGCTTTTGGATTTCTGGTTTCGGGATGTTGGCATTTAAAAACTGAAAATGTAAAGGGTATGATCTTAGAGGAAAGGTGATTAATGTATAATAATCATCCTTCCATGGCCTCAGAAGGGTCGTTATAGACTTGCATATCTAATATGCTCTCAAAAATAGTTTAGGTAGTGTTTCTCTTACATAACTAATTCATGACTTTCTCCAGTAATTTTTTTTCTTTTTTGGAGGAACAGTGCGAGGAGCTGACTTTTGTTACTATTTATAAAACCATTAACACTTTTTAGCTTAACTGCTTCAGATAAAATTTTTCCAATAAATTAGGCAATACCTAATTTGTTCGATTAATTAAAACTATTTTGATAATAGAAAATATTTTAAATGTAGAAGAGCAACAGGTATGGCGTTAGACAGATATAAGCAAATGATTTATTTATTCTTATGTTCTCTATAACTCTTTCTGCATTAAGGAGAATCTGAAACATATTTTAAGAATCACATGCACCAAAAGAAAAATACCCTTTAAACTATTTAAAGAATGTGATAAATTGGTAAGTTTTGAATCAGTCTGTCATTGAAAAACATTTTATTAATTCTTAAAATTGCCTATTCCCAGCTTTCTGGCTTCATTAGCGTTTAAGTTGCTTATAGGAGGAATTAAAAAAGCAGTTCAAATTCAAAAGCTTCAGTCTGTGATTTCACCAACAGTTGTAAACGATATGATCAGAGGGAAGAAAAATAACACCATAACTGTGCTGTCACATTTTATTGCTTAAAATTTTACTTAGTGCTCAAAATTTTATTAAACACAATAAAGGGAGAGTACAGTTTTGAACGAAAAATTAAAGGACAAACATAATACAGTGACAGCACAAATGCCACACAAGCACCACTCTAAAAGCAACCTAAAACACAGAAAACAGTCTTATCATTGAAACTTAGGTGGTTTTTCCTTTCTGAGTACTGCATTGAAGTTTACCACATAATCAGTAACATAAGAAGAATGAATACCAGTGCCGAAGGCATCATAAGCATATTTATTCAATTATATTTTATACCACCTGCGATCATATTGAAAATATTTAGAAGCCAAGTCCTTATAACTGTGCAGTATAAGAACACCTTTTCCACCATTATAGTCAGGAATGTAAATTGCATGCATTTTAGTAACAGCTACCAAGAAATTTTATTTCCAGTCTTTGAGTCTTTCATGGCCCATTATTTGATAGGTCTTTAGTTCCTTTCACCTGTGGCTGCCAACTAGCAAGGGGTTACCCATGCTGGTAATCAGTCAGCCTCTTAATCACGGTAACTACAGGAATTACCTTATTTGATGGAATACTGGTGTTTTGTGCCCTATTGATCAGGATATTATTTTTTATCTACCCTTTCCTGATAACTATTTTGTTTGAATTATCTAGTGGAAAAATTGTAATAAATTTGAGGAAGATTTTGAAGTTTAAGGATAAGCAAGCTTCAAAACAGTATTTGATTAACATAATTTTAGTGGATGTTTCTGCTCTGTAAAGTCCAGAGTGACTTAGTAGCGGAGATTTTCTAAATTGTGGAACACGGCTAGTTACTTAGCTGCAAACTTCAGCTAAAGTAAAGACAAGACAGGGCCAGACAGATGGGCCCACTGTTGAAGACAAACATTAACTTGGGGCTTTCTGTGGTGACACAAAAATCCAGGTGTTTTAAGTTTTGCCTGCAGTTGAGGACTTTTCTTGTTAAAATAACTTTTATTTCTTTGAAGAACAAAATATCCCAAAACTTTAAGATTAGCATTCAGTATCTGACACCTCAGTGATGTCCTTAAGAGTCCTCTAACAGAGAAAAATACTTGTTTGCAGGGGAGAAGAGTTTAGGATGTGGAAAGTTTGGGACAGAGAGTAGACCTAACCTTATATGTGTGTCAGAATATACCCATCATTGTGCCAGACTGGGTGGCATTCGAAAGTCTGAGTCTAAAAGACAGCATCGTAGCTGTAGAAAGTCATACATAAAGGAAAGAAAAAAAATGAAGAAAAATGTGGGAAAGTGTTTCTTTAAAAATAATGCTTTGAGGCTAAAAACATGTGGAGGGGAAACAGAGTGTGTGGTGTAAACAGAGCTCAGGGGTTTCCTGCAGTTTCCAGTCAGGGGACAAGTAGGGTCCGTGTGTAGCATCTTGGTTGGCCAATGGCGAAGGCTCTACCCATGGCCACCAGCCCCACTGTCCAACAGGTGAGATGCTGAACTCAGACTGATGGAGAAGGCAAGAACATCGGGAGAGTATTTATATATGACAATAGGAAAAACTCACAGTAAACCGCCAAAACAAGCCTGCAGTTTTCCACTGGTCTTGTTCATCTGCAGATTTTGCACCTAGTGGATTAGAAGTTTAAATACTGACTAAAAATTGAATAGTCTTTTTTTTTTTTTAGTACAAGCTATGTATCTGGATATCATAAATCAATCTAATAACTTTTTAATATGCTTGATTATAAGTAAAATTTCTCTGGAAAAAGAAAGACAGACAGACAGAATAAGCATGCACAATTGAGGTGCATTACATGGAGTTGTCAGTGTTGGAATCCTTGAATGTTTAAACAAATTCCCTTTGTGGTAGATATTATTCCATCAAAAAGGATAAGTACTGTAATGGTGTTTTAATAGGTCACTCACTGAATTTAGTTGGTTTGAAATGCATGGATTCAATTGATAGGCTCTTAGGACAGAAATGACTGTATTTCATAAAACTGGGAATTAATGCTAATGATGCCAGTGGCAGGATAAACACAGCTTATGTCAATGTAAACTTACCGATTTCTGCTTCTGCTTAGCTACAGCAGCATGGAAAAGAAACAAAGAATAACAGAGCATGCATGTTATTGGCTTGTCAAAGGACGCAGACAGTCAACAAGACTAGAAATGTGACGCAGTGCAGCTGAGCGGGTGGACAACGGGAGCCAGAAGTTCATGTTACCTTCTTAAAGAAGGGCATTCTTTTCTCTTTGGAGTGGGGTGACGTTACACTGTTTGCACTGGGTTTAGGGGAGCGGTGGTTTGCTGGAATATCATTTTCTTCTGCATCTAAGCCAGTAGCATCTATGTCTATAGCTATATACAGACAAATAATTCAAAAATCATCAGGTGGACAGGAGAGGAAAAACAGGTTATAAAGAAAATAAACTGAAAGCAAACAAACTAACCGCTGTAAAAGATCTATCATGAATGTTTAACACAGTACACAAGAAAGTAAAAATCTAAAGATACAACATGCTAAGAATGAGGTGTAATCACAGTTTAACAAAACTGAAAGATACCCACTCCCTTGAGCAAGTCAGTTTCACGTACATTTCCTGACTGTCATTAGAGAAGCATTTTTAATGTGTAGTTTCAAATATGATATTATTCTTATCAAGTGTAGAAAAAGAACCATACATTACTTGGCTTCACTTAGCACAATACACAAACCCAGCTTTGAGACAAGAAGGCATTGGAAACTCAACACAATGTGCCTCAGATTTCTCGTCTTTCTTGATTTTGTGTGAAAATAAGGGCAATGTGAAAAATTCATTAAAACTGCAAACAGATGTTTGAGGGAAAGAGGGTAGAGAAAATCCTCAGGGCCAGGTAGCACAAAGGAACTGGACCCAAGGTGAATGATGCGGAAGAGGATTCCTGGATGGACAGAATTAAAATGATTTCCGGATGTGTGCACCCTCAGACAGACCCGATTGCGCACTAATTGGAAAACACAGGATCTAATGAAGTCAGTCTAATAAAGCCACATAAGACTTCGGATGATTTAGGATGCCACTGGGTGTCCTATGAGGCAGAGTAGAAGGGCAGGCGTAAAAACCAAACAGAATATGCCACTGGTTTCCTCATCTGTCAAATGAAGATTTCAGGTTTGTTACTTGACATGCTTTCACTTTTGAAATCTTTCAACCTGCAAATACAGCTCTTAAAAAGTGCTGAATGGGGCCGGGGATTTAGCTCAGTGGTTTCGCCTCCGGCTGCGCAAGCTCAAGGACCCGAGTTCGATCCCTGGTAAAAAAAAACAAAAAAACAAAAAAAAAAACCCACGGTGAATGAAGCTGGGCTGGGCGGTTCGTACCGGTGCTCCCAGGGCTTGGGAAAGCAGAGATTGGGGCTTGGTAACCAGCCTGGGCAACTTAGGGACTGAAAGGGAGCCCGTGTCAAAATCAAAAAAGGCGAGGGATGTAGCTCAGGGCGAAGACCCTGCGTTCACTCTCCAGCACCAGAAAAAGAAAAGAAGGTCAGTGTCAGAAACCTGTATAATCTCATTTCGAAGTTTATAAAAACATTTCCACATGCAATTACTATAGAATTTTATTCGCTGTAAAATCCAAGCTGGAACAATTTTGAAGATCAGCTTTAACCCTTTTACTTTTAAGACTTAAAGGGTAAACCTGTAGAGTGTAAGGGACTCGTAGAGATCAAGGGACTTGTTCTTGGCAAAAACTCAGCAGCACCAGGACTTAGAACCTAGTTCTCCTGCCTTAGGAGTCCACACTTGTCTCGGTACCGTGCTGCCCTCCAGGTGAGAGCCCTTCGCAGCCCGGGGCTCTCTTCCAGTTCCTTTTGTGTCCCTAACAGGGTCCAAATTTAGGGCTTGTCATAGAGTTGGGCTTGCTAGAGAATTATTTTGTGTTTGAGATTTGGTCAAGAAGAAAGGAAACTTCACTCACCCTAGAGAAGCGTTCTTTACATGTTGGCACACTGCCATAAGCCCCAGTACAACCCGATTTAAGGAGCACATTACCACTTGGAATAACAGCGTGGTCCGCCCTGCAGGTCCCACTCCATGATACCTGCGCTGCGCTGAGCTGGTGCTCACAATAGCCTCTGCTGACCTTTTCAAAGGAGGAGGAGATCATCTGGCAGCTATCACATTATTTCCCAGTTTCACAGTTATTAGGGATATGAGATGATTCAGTCTTTCAAATACTAGGCTCTCATATATAATTGTTCTTCTCCCTCTGATTAGGTTGAAAACTGGTGATGGAGTGAATACCTGGCACTGTATGCACAGCATTACAAATATCAGCCTTGGTTTGCATAATACACGAGGTATCGCTTCCCATCAAGTGAGGGTAATAACAGGCTGAACGAACTCCAGGTGTTGGACTAGGCTTACCTAGTGAACATCCCTTCTCGTCAACACCCCGTGCATGCTGATGAGCTGAAAGGTTCAGTGTGTGGTATTCAGGGTAAGCATCACAAAGTGAGCCCAGGGGTTTAAACCTACTCTGCCTTTTATACCGCACTACAGTGAGCCCTTCTCTCATGCAGGAAGGCTGCCGTATGGGGCTATGACATTAGCCTGGGAAGTCAGGAAAAGTCTCAAGGAATGGTTTTCTCCAAATCCTAGCAACGAGGGTATGTCATCAGCACCTCACTGGATATGAAGGAGGGAATCTGGGTCATTATTTCATTTTTCTTGAAACAGGTCTTAACCATTATTAAGTGCTTCTTTCCTGATGGTAGATTCCCACATATTTTTATCTTTTTCATTCTCATTGGGCTTATAAAGGTCATAATTCAAGGGACAGTACCCATCAGGCATGGTAGTGCATGACTGTAATCCCAGCATTCTGGGGGGCTGAGGCAGGAGGATCATAAGTTTGAGATCAGCCTGGGCAACCTAATGTGTCCCTGTCTTAAAACTAAAAAGCAAAAAAGGGCTTGAGGTGTAGCTCAGAGCAAAGGCCCTGGGTTCAGGACTCAGCATCGCCAAAGAAGGGGTGGGACACAGTACCCACCAAACGCCTTTCTCAAACAGAGGCCACCCAGCTGGATGTCAGGGCAGACAGGGCCCTGGAACAGTAACGTTTGTAAATTTTCAAGTCTTTTTCGGAATCCTCTACACTTTGTTTGGTTCAGATAATTCTCTTTCTACTGAGAGATATTACCTTTTTAAATTTCATACTTACACTTCCATACCTTAGCAAACATTAGTATTTACCTGGGAAAAACTACTGGTTTATATATTTGAAAGTAGTTTTTCCATTCCTTACTAGCATCCATCTATCTTCTGGAAATATTCTTTGACATTTAAGCTTCAGTTTAATCTGAGAGTTGGGTCCAGTTGAGCCGAGTGCAGGGGTGACGTGTATACACATTTGCATGGGTGTGGGGCACATGTCCTGCAACTGGCCACCACCTCATTACCTGGATGTAAAGTGGAAACACTTCCTTTCCCAAACCCTTGAGGACATCCAAATATATTTCCTTTCAACCATATACTCATATTCCTAGGTCTAGCAGTGGGTGAGGGGAATTACAGAGAGCGCTTCTGAGAAACGAAAAAGGAAAATTACAATTGCCGACCAGTGCACACTCCCTGGAAGTGAACTAGGGAGTGTGCTCTAAATTTCCTCAAGTTTTCCTTTGGATCGGCTGAGTTATTTCATGAAAATTATCAGAGACCAGATGTTTACACATTTTGCAGGTGATTATATCTCCAGCCCAGTTAGTCACAGTGTTTTCTACTCTTGGTATTCAGAGAGGTTATTCTAAATTCTGTATCTGTATAAAACTTTTTTATTAACTTTTCATGGAACTTTATTATTTTTTCGTACCGGGGATCGAACTTAGGGCCTTGTGCTTGCAAGGCAGGTGCAGCGCCACTGAGCTAAATCCACAGCCCTTCATGGAAGTTTATTTTTACCAAAGTGAAACAGATGACTACAAATTGAAATGTCATTTTACATATATACTGATTTGTTCTCTAAAATGCATGCACCTCCTTTTATTATATTGCTAAATCAATTTAAAGGCTACAGCATGTTGAGAGGAAATGGAAGAATTTTAGTGGTCCTCAGAGGGGGGTGCCTCAAATGTGATGTGGCAGATCCCCATTTTAGGAGCCAAGTAATAGCCCTCATGAGTCCAGGAGACAGACTTTCAGATACACAGGAAATGTGTAAAATTCATACAGCAATTCCTACAGCTTTCCACATTTGAGAAGAGCAGGACTAGGTGCCTGTTCCATTTTCACTTTAAGAGCGCTATTTTATTAACGTTGAGCAGCTTACAACTGCTACAAGTCACAAGATTACAGCTTTTGAGATCAATATGCACCCTAAACCAATTTATTTCTTTTCTTTTCTTTTTTTTTTTTTGGTACGGGGGATCGAACTCGGGAACTTGCGCTTGCGAGGAACCATTGAGCTAAATTCCCAGCCCACCCAATTTATTTCTTACTGTGCTCAGATTTTGTTCACTTAAAAAATCCTGCAGTGTTCTGCTAAGTTTGCTATAGTCTTTCTAATCTTTGATTTCTAAAAGATGCCAACATTTAAGAGCTAGGTGTGATTATTGGTAATGTAAGAATCCTGTTCTTAAAACACGGTAGTAACTGTACGGCTAGTTCCTCAATTTCTCCGCAGACACAATTCTCTTTTTTATCACTTCTCATGTCCAGCTTCCTAGCAATCACACAGTCATTCTGTTGCAATTCTGTAACAGCCAATGCTTCCAACCTTACTCTGGCTCCCAGTTACATCTCTTGGAAAACTAAGACATAATCACAGACGTGCATGTTGAGATAGTTTCCTATTATACTAAACTCCACATTCTACACAAAATGCTAGCATTGCCAGAGCTAGCAAAGAAAGTGATATTAAATAAGAATTTCAGATAAACAAGTTTTAGTCTAGTACAGGTACAGTGTATTTCTCATTCAATATGGACTTCTACTAAAAATTATTTATCTGAAATTCACATTTAACTGGGTGTCCTATATCTAGCAGACCTAAACCCATTGCTTTGTGGGAAGACAATACTTACTCTTCCCTCAAGTGCTTTCTGTTGAGTTTTTCGAATTTTCTATGCACTGTCCATGTCTTCCATAGAGCCCATCTTGTCTATCTCATAGCAACCCAGTCACTCCACCTTCCCTCGATTCTCCATTCCTCACCTTCCGAAAGTTCGAATTCCACTTCTGTTTTCATGTAACATCGCAGCCTACACCTCACACTGCACGGTAGTGCTTGGTGGGCTTTCACCCATTTACTGCCCAGAACAGTGTGGGAAGCACCATGGTGGGAAATGGGGATAAACCGGGAAATTACATTGGTCACTTTGAGCTTCTACAGCAACTTTGAGTAAGCACATTGACATATTTCCTTCATTATTTTCTCTTTGAAGCCAGAAAAAAGATTCTCATGTTGTTTCTAATTCCACGAAAGCAGTTTTATTTCTGATACCTGTTAACATCTGCAGGGCTTACAGAGCCCTTTGGTGGATGTAAATTCGCAGGACTAGGTAAGACTGGGGAAAGCATGAAATGCAGCATGTACTGTTCAGCACTCAGCACCTACTTACCAGATGATGGAGGTGTGGATTTTCTGGAACTAGGTACTATGTCACCCAAACTGGACGATGAATTTCCTCCTGATTTACTGGAGTAAAGCAAAAAGCAGATTAGATCTGATGCTTATTTCAGGTCCACGAACATGTGCATTGCTCAACATGAGAATTCATTATGTTTCCACTGAACTGTAAGTTTATCCTCCTTAGAAGGAAGCAAACAGTAATGGTGCGATGGAGATTCCTGGAGTACTTGAAACAGTTATGTGGTAATCTCTGTTCTCAAATGCAAGCTTTAAGTTTCAAAAAGCTTGAGAGAATGAAAGAGAACTCGGATAATTTCACAGCCTTCAAGTTCTCTGGCCAGATATAGAAGGCTAAACAAGAGATTTCCTTTGCTTTTTATCTCAGAGGCCCTCTGAGACAATGTATACAGAACCTTGAGGCTAACGCCCAGACTTAATGTTTCCAGCTTGTTTGTCTTAGCTTGATCATTTTTAGTATATTAAGATTGAAAGTACTTAAACTTTCGTGGCAACCTGTAAAAGAAAAACACAGCAGTACCCAAACTTGCTAAGAAACATAAAACAGTATATTATGATTTAACCAACGGATAGTACCCAGAATACGTCTCAAACATGACTAACATGAAAGACTAAACTTGGTTAATTTAGAAGTGATCTGAAGAACATACAATTCAGAAGTACCAAATTCTGAAGTTTGATAGAAGTTTGCTTTTGTGCTCAGGAACTTTGGAATTAGTACTAGAACAACAGCACTTAGGGTTTTTACCATTATATGAGAGGGCTAAATAAAATAGTACTAAATGGCCCCTTTTCACGTGATAATGGCAAGAAATATCTTAAAAGAATATCATGGAATTTAGGCAAGATGTCCGCACTGCCCCTTCCTTCATTGTCATGGGTCTGGATGAAAGAATCTTTTACAGTGTCTATGTATGGAGGGGCAATATTTACACTTGGATAAATATTTGCATGAAAATGTAAGTTCTACTGTTCTGCAACAGGCTGAATTTTATTGCTACTATTCTAGCATTGTAATGCAGAAAGCAAACAAATGTGAAAACTACTAAACAGCTAACAGGAAGGCTGTGTATCTTTTTAAGGTTCTTAAAAGATACATTTAATAAGGACAACAGGTGTAATAAAAAGCGACATTAATTTGTATAGTTATGTAAGGACACCTCTTACCAAGACCAAAACATTTTTTCAGAAATGTTTCTTTCTTTTTCTAAAGTAGTATAATTTCAGTTCAAACATGGGTTTGTTTTTATATTCTTTTTGAATTTTATAGTAAAAATATTACCTGAGTTGTGTAAAATTGAGAAAGAATGTTGCTAATAGTGAAAATGTTCAGGATACAGATTTGCCCTTGACTTTTAATGCTATAAAAATGCCAAATCCTTCAATGTTTCCCAATTGTATTTCCTTTGATTTCTGTCAGATTTTATAATAGATCTATCAGAAATTTGAAAGACTGCCAGACTGATTATATCCTCAAAAAAATTTTTTTTCCATGTTAGGAGACGTGCAAAAACCTGTAAAAACAACTAGAAGTATTTTTACACACTTGGGCAAAAGCTTGGGTAAAAAAGATGAAACAAAATAAAATCAAGAAAATCAAAGCAAAGTATGAGTAACCCAGTTCCCCAGAATAGGTTATAAGATCTTATGACCTTGACAATTATAAAATGCTAGTTAATGAGGAATTCCAAACCATAAAGCATATTCTATTTCATTCATTGACACTTGAAAAAATTCCCTGCTAATGTGAAAATATTATCATTGAGCAAGAAATAAATATAAACAAATGAGATACAAGTCTGAGTAAAAACAAAAACCTAGCTATTCACATTAAAGAAAAATCTTGCCTATATTATTTCATCCTTTCATGGAGGGAGAAACATGCCACTTTCTTAAACTTGTCTGCATGGGGTTCATTTTAAAATTCACTACCAGTATGAGTGGCCCTCATAGTGAAAAAGGTAAACAACCTCAGCCCCCGCCTATTACATAACTCATTTAATTGCTGTTTGTTTGAAACCGGGGATTGAATTCGGGACCTTGCACTTGCGAGGCAGGCTGCAGAACCACTGTGCTAAATCCCCGGCCCTAACTCATTTAATTGCTATCTGAAAAGGGACCTTTAACTTATTTCATACTTCGTCAAAGTCTTTAGTGCTTCACAGTAAGTAGAACTGAAAATTTAATCTCTCTAGTGAAAATGAAACCAACAGACGACAAAATTGCTATTTGCCAGTGAGGTCTAAAACTGTCATCTCTAAAACGTCTCCCTGCCACGCCAGGCAGCTACGGACACTAGGATTAGTCACCATGGCTGCTCAGTGCCAGAGGACTTTCAGCAAATGATTAGGACCATAGAATTTCTCTGCACTGAAACTGCAATTTAATATTCTATGACCTTAGCTGTTTCATTAATGATCATAATTAATCTGATTCCCTCCCAAATGGGGTGGAAATCAGATGCTGGGATGAAGTTTAAAAATGTAGCCATTGTGATGCTGTCAATGAACCCTATCACCAGTCTGCTTTAAACATATAATAAAGAGGGTAGAACAGAGCCAACGACAGTGAAGAATGAACGTTGGTGGAATCTGAACTTTTACTTTTGACATTTTTCTCATACCTGGAGTAGAATTTTCCTTGCTTGGCTCTCTGCTCATGCTGTAGCCTCATATTTTCTAGTTTGACCGGGCTTGGAATGAATCCGATTTCACAGCCTTCTTTAACCAATCGGCCTATCCACCAGTCATTATTAAATTTCTAAACAGGAAATGAAACGTATTAAAGTCAGTGCACCAAAGTTCAGATCTTTGAAACCTTTTTCTCTCACATTAACTATTTTCACGGGAGAGAAGTGTGCCTCACGTATTACAATTCAGAAACCCCTCAGGTTGGTGGGTTTAAACATACAACAGTGAAATATGTTTGAGTTCCCCACAGTCCATAGGAAACTTTGTGCTTCCTTCCTTAGTCCTCTTGCTGCCTTTAGGACCAGGCTGAATTCTGTCCCCCCTGAGGAGAACTAGTGGTCTTTCCCCTACAATCAGATTAATTTAATTAGAAGTATTAAGAGTGAGATAAATCCTGAAATGTACCTGAAAATATTTTGGGTCGGAACAAAACTTGCCCTTTGGGACTTTTATAATTATACAAGGTAAAGTTCACTGATGATTTAAGTGGATTTCTCCCTCGTGAATATAATATTTATCTTGAATCTGTGTGATTTGATTTCATTTTCTTCAGTTGAGTAAGTCTGTTCCTGAACACTTTAAAGAATAGTCATTGTTTTCTTTGCATGGTAGAAAGAGCTCCACCTCTAAGAATCAGCCATCAAGAGCCCTTGTATCTTAACTTCTTGTTATAAAGCAACATGTGAGGCACCCGTCCCTTCTGAAAGCGTTTTTCTCTCATGGCCTTTTAGCCAGTATTTAAACTCTTTCTGAAAGTTACTGTGATGCCGTAGTAGGCTCTTTTAATTGGCAGCATTCCTTCCTTTATTTACAGCCTTTCACGCACTGCTCAGTTAAATTTACACATTGTTCCATGTGCCATATCATCCCCCAAGGTGCTGTAGTTGTAAATCCCTCCATACAGAGAATACTATTTGGGGAATTTCTGTCACTCAATACAGGGCTCCACATAGCAGGCATTTGGCACATACTGACTACAAACAAAAATTAAGGGTGACTTTTTCCAACTTACAGATTGTGTCACTGTTAACTGAAAGGTGGAGAATTATGGCATGGGGAAAAAGGAATTTTTCTGATATCCATTTCTTGCCTCACTGGCTCCAGTTAGTACCATTCAATCTTTAATTGGAGGTATGCAGCATTTGAGGAGGAAAAAGGGCACCAATAGTCAGAGTCTAGACATTGTCAGCAGAGAGAAGAGTTGTGAATTCTGCATTTTACTAAAACCCTCCCCAGATGGCTAACCTTCAGACATCAGGAAAAACTACACAGAGTCAAGGTTAAATATGAAAAGAAAAAGTGCAGGTTAAGCATAAAAAAGGATCATCTGCTGTAATAGTTCCCAAATTCTGGGCCACAGAGCCCAAGGGAGCCCTGAAGTTATTGCCAGAAGCCTATGAGTCCTTTCTACTTTAAAAATGTATATTTATATCAGAAAAGGTTGAGAGCCACTGATTCAGTGTGTGTGTTACACAGCTGTGGCTATACACAATGCTATTTCACAGCAGTGAGAAATAAGAAATGATGCTTCAAGGTGAAAAAAATCACATTGAGAGAAACTGAAGTTATTCTCCTTACTTCCTTAACGTGCAGAAAATCTTTTGCCTCGAATGAGATGGCCATGCCCGGCACCGGAACGTCATCTTCATGGGCTGCACTATAGCTGACATTTGTCCGAACTGCAAATGCAACGGGTTTTGTCTACAGAGGAAAAAGGAGAAAAAGAAATAAGAAAAGAAGCAACAGTCTCCTTTCCTTCTCCCAGCTCAAATACAAAGATACACGGAAAAACTGCTGTAATCATTGTTTTTTTCCACATTGGTTCTTTATCACAAAATAACTTGTTAGTATTCACAGTGCATAAAATAGCTCTCAGCTACAAGCCACCCATTTCCGAACTAGAAAAAGGCCATTGTTCTCTTTGAGAGCACAACAAGTAATGAAGGTGAAGATGAACTACTGAATTATGTGTTTACAGAACATCTTGTAGCTACTAGAAATCAGGAAACACAAATATGAATAAATGCCCAGTTTCTTTTTCCATTAGGTAGAAAAGACATAGAAACTATCTCCCTCCCTCAGACTTCTAATTTTAATTAGTCATTAATGATACTATTCTTAAAGGCACATTGTATTAGATGAGGGAAAAAATGAAGGAATATATTCTATAATTTTGGTAACTGTTATTCATGGCTGCAGGGAATTATGAAAGCAATGACCTTTTCCTCTATTATTTTTCCTCCTTGATTCATTCAGCTACGAGCATCCTTTGATTCTTTGAAATTTTGCACAAAAGCATCTGTCTGTCCTCTATTGGCAATACTGTGTTTATCCAAAAGATGAAAAAAAACAAGTGAGCTCGAAATGGTGAGAAGAGAGACTGTTCCAACTGCCATTTGGGTGGTACACTGGGGGCCAGCGGATTTTTCTTTTTTTTTTTTGGTACCAGGGATTGAACTTGGGACCTTGTGCTTGCAAGGCAGGCAGCGGCACCACTGAGCTAAATCCCCAGGTCACCAGTGAATTTCTCAAGAGCAGTTTCTCCATCATCAGTGAGCTCCTCACGTGGACCTAGAGGGAGGACAGGGGGGCTGGAAGAGAGAAGAGCCATTTTCATTTTCCAGCCCTCTGGAGCTAATCTGTTCCCCTTGCTGTGCCTGAGTGGAGACTGAGCTAAGAACACTCAAGTTCCTCAGGTCCACCCACAGTGGGCAGATTGGTAAGGGAAAGGCAAGTTTTGCAAGAAGGCATGGTGGACATGAAGCGTATTTCACTATTTGAATGATGTAAAGGGTGCTGCTCCTTATGTGGAAATTGTAACAGTTCACCGACACACACAGATGTTGCATGTATGTGTAGCTACTACACATCTATATACTACATATAACACACAGAGCTCATGGTTTTACCATTGGAAATCCTCAAAGTTATTTCCGTGTTTTCCTTGGAATTTTCTTAAATATATACATTTTTCCCCAGAACTACGTTCAAAGTATATTTACTTTTATCTACTTTTTAAAGTAATATTTTTCATGTGCTACATTTTGCTAAAATACTTAATATTACATATAAGTAAATGCTTTCCCATATATATATATATATATATTTCTTTGAGACAGGGTCTCGCTAGATATTCCAGGTTGGCCTTGAACTCAGTACATATTCTCCTGCCTCAGCCTCCTCAGTCCTGGGATTATAGGGGTGCACCCCCACACCCAGTTTAGTTCCCATCTATTTAGGCCCAGCTCAAATCACCTCCTTTTTGCTGTCAGTCTGCAGACCAGTTAGCACAGTTTAATACCCTCCAAGTGATTCAATCGCAATAACTGTCAAAGCCAAGGTATTTTCCTCCAATATATTCTTTCATATTCTCTAGGACATGAGAAAATGATAAACTTTTCCAATATTCATTTTGTTTAGAGTGTTCTAATTTGGTTTTCTTTGATAGCACAACAAAGCCTCAGATATGAATGCTTTAAAAAAAAACCTAACTTGAAGTTCCACAGGAACATTCCTTGAAGGATCATTAGATGTTTATCCCACGAAACCACTATTTATCCAGTGTATCCTGCTTCAGGTTAATATTCTTAATTCTGGCCTCATTTCAGTATGATCAAAGGTCTCACCATGCAGAAGTCTTGAGACCTTGTTCTCACCGGGAAATTCACTTTTGTTCTGAAGCCTATGAGAATTTTATGGTTTTCCAGCACTGTGGCCCTGGGACATGGTCCTGTTTCATTCTCATGGTGCCATCATAAAAATTTGGGACTCTGATTTTTGTAACTTGAACGAATCCCACCCCTTGTCTCTTCCAGGGCTGGCTGTCACAAAATTGTACTTAAATCTAAACTTGGATGTAGTATGCAGTCCTACATTCCACTTTCATTCAACCCCTTTCATGCCCTTAAGGGCTTTATTCTCAGGCCAGTGTCAAACCTCGAGCCTCCCTTTACTGTCTGCTTCTACCTGGATTTCTGGCCAGCTTGTTTTGCAGCTGTGGAGGACCAGGCACATGAGGTGGAAGCAGAGTTTTCTACCAGTATTTTTGCTTTTCACTGTCCTGTGCCAAGGTAAAAAGGAGACCATTCTTTTTCTGGGTACCTTCTTTCTGTCATATGGGCATATGCCGCATAGCTTTAGAAGTGACTGGTAAATCCTTTGTGCTCTCTGACCCCCGTTTTTGTTACAGAGGCTTAAAAATTTGCTACACATTCGCTTGTGGAGTCAACCTGAACAGGTTATCAGGATAAATCAATAAGTACCAGTTATAGGAGAGTAGCATCTCATTACCAGTCAATAAAGTTGAAGTGCTTTAAAAACACTACGGCTGTGTCTTGTTCACAGTACCCGCAGTCTGTTTTCATTAATGTGTTTGAGAAGAAAATGACTGCACGATACAGTCATTAAGATATTTTTATTCCTCTCTTCCAGGCTCTTCTTCACCTTGAATATGACTTCCGAAAACTGTGCCCTTAGGAACGTCTGCCAGGTGACAAGCACTGTGCTGGCTGCTAAGCAGAGATTGTTATATATATTTTTTGGTATCGGGGATTGAACTCGGGTCCTTGCCCTTGTAAGGCAGGTGGCAGGACCACTGAGCTAAATCCTTGGCCATTGTTTTTAATGTAATCCCCACAGCAACTATTTTTCCCAGATAAGGAAACTGAGGTTCGAAAAGTTCTCCTAGGCTATAAGCAATGGAGAGGGTGTTTAAATAAAACTATCTCACTCCCAAACTGGAGGTCTTTCAGCACAAGACTGATTTTTTTTTTTTTTTTTTTTTGGCTGTCCTAGGGACCAAACCCAGGCCCTCATGCATGCTAAACAAATGCTCTAGACTCTCAGCCTTTTTTATTTTGAGACAGAGTCGTACTAAGTTGCCCAGGCTGGCCTCAATCTTGGCATTTTCAGGCCTCAGCCTCCTGCAGACTTAGGGTTACAGCAATATCTACTCACTAGACTGCCTTTCATTTAAAGAGATACATTGATGGTGATTTCAGAGCATTTTTATGCTTGTATGAAATTCTTAAGACCCAAAAGTTATATTTTACAAAATGCTAAAAAACAATTGGGTTGGGAAAAAGAAAATGAGGCCCGAGTCTGCCTTGCTGTCTCACACTAAAAGAAGAATTTCACCTGTTTGAACTGTAGGTGTTCATTTTAAAGGGGACAGACTTTAATCAGTTTGAAGTCCAAAAAAATCAACAGCAGTGTCAATTATGATCTTTATGTGGCTATACATTTTCCTTCTTTAGTCTTCATTTTTGTAAGCTTTAGGGCTTTGTTTCAAGCAAGGAGAATGGAGATATTAAAATATACATGGCTTCAGCCAGGTATGGTGGTGCACGCCTGTAATCCCAGCACTCGGGAGGCTGAGGCAGGAAGATTGCCGAGAGTTCCAGCCTAGCCTGGGATACATAGCTCAAGGATAGCCTGAACTATGTACAAGACTCTCAAAAAAACAAACAAACAAAAAAATATATATATATATATATATATATATAGCTTCATAGCTTCTAAAAGTGCTGCACAGGGCCCTGCCACAGGGAGATCTTGTCAAAGGGAACAGCTACCTGAGTTATACAAGCATTAAGCTCTGCAAATTTATGAGAGTAAAATGTTTCATGGATTAACTTTAAGGACTTTTAACTAACCTTAAAGCTCTGGTAACACAGCTTTGTTTGGAAGCTCGTTACTCTGCAAAATTCATTCTCCCGATAACTCTCCCCAGACAGCCCTGGACCCATCAGCTCAACATCCTTTGCAGTTATCACTAAAGATACTTTGAGTTCCATCAGCATGTCTCCATCGCAACTGCTCCCATAGTCTTGGATTTTTTTATTTTTTAAACTCAGTTTAGATCTTTTAGGGCGGATACTTCTCGCAGATGATCACAGTTATAACTACAGCTGCTCAGTCACCTTGAAAATGCTGAAGGTCAGTACTGCTTGTTTTCACCGCTTTCTTCCTCACCTGGATTCCACCGTTAGCACTTTCTGTCTTCAACATGAATCTGCTGATTCAGGCCCTTTCAGCCCTACTCTGCCATCCTTAATCACAGTGCCATATGGTCCACTCCGTCTAGAGACAGATGTCTACACCCCTTCCTCAGCAGACATGCATGTGACAGAGCCAGTCTGGCAGAGTGGGAGGGTATTTGTGAACAGCTCTGTGGCCACAGGACTGGGGTTTTCTCACATCCAAAGGAAGCTCACTGAGCTATTCAGAGTCCTGGCCCATGCAGCCTTCCAGAGAGTATTTAAAGGTTACAGGGCAAGGAGCTTTTCTTTTCTCATAACCTAGTATCACCACAGCTAAGTTTGTTAAAACACAATTATTATAGGTAGAAGACAATTAGCTTTAAAAATATCTTTGGTCATGAAGTAAAACAAACAGGTTATCATAAATTTATGGTAGTATTTCTAGCTTCTTAATGATTTAATGAGTTGATAGTGAAACTAACTTGAATAAATACAACACAATGTTTACTTTAGGTTTACAACAAATGTGCTAGTGGCAGAATATCTACTATTATAAAGCAAAATGAAAGCTGGGTGTGGTGGGCCTGGCCCGTGACCCCAGCATTCTGAGAGGCTGAAGCAGAAGGATTACAAGTTCAAGCCCAGCTCAGGCAATTTAGTGACTCAGCAAGACCCTGCCTCACAAAAAAGGACCAGGGCACCAAATGCTTTGGGGCTGAG